TAGATTACTCTGTACAGCAGGGGTCCCCAATCCCTGGCCCGTGGCCCAATAACAGGCCGTGGCCTATTTAGAACAGGGCTGTGCAAGAGGTGGGCTGGTGCACAAGTGCACCGGCAGTTGCGCAAGTGGTGCCCCAAAGTGTAGTAGTGTGCATGCGTGCTGGCCTGCCACTCACGTAGCCCGCTTCTCCTCTCTACCCCCAGCCAGGCCAAGCTGTCTGTTCCCAATACTCCAAAAGTGGAGTGCTGAATGCAGAGGCTGAGTGGGACAAGCGACTCACCAAGGATGACTCACCAAGGCTGCCTGCACAGGACATCCAATCTGCTTTTAGAGCGTTGGGCAGCCTCAGTGAGTCTGAAGGAGCACGAGACCGTGCCCGCAAAGTCTTCTCCACACCAAAAGCTTTTGCAAATAGCCAAAAGATTTTGGGTGAGCGATCTCGTGCTGCTTTGGGCATTCCATCCCTTTGCAAAAGTTTTTGGTGTGAAGAAGCCTGAAGGAGCATGAGACCGTGCTCCAAAGGCTTCTCTTCCTTCTTGCATGAATGGAACTCTGTGTGCATTGATCACATACCCTGGTTCACCTCTGCCCTCCCAGGTGGTCTGCCAAGCCACCAGCTGCTGTACAGTATTAATTATTAGAGCACATAAGCTGCAATCATAGCTTCAAATGCAAGCTTTAATCAACTGCTGTGAAAAGCAAAGTTTGCATCGCTCTTTGCTTACCTGCAACATTGTTCTTGAAGGTTGATTTACCTTCACTGTATGCCATGCACACAATTATTATGACCTAGATACTTGAGCAGCTTCAAAACTACCAGTAATTTTAACTTTAGAAGATGTTGCACTTGAACCAAACCCAACAATTCAATTGTATAAAGGATTAAAATTAAAGTTAGTATTTGACCTGTAGAAGGAAGAATTGAATATCTAATTTTGAAAAATCAGTAAGTCCAGGTATTCTTTACGGTTCAGATTATAAATTCAACAACTGAATTAATTAAGCATAGGTATTTATACATATATCGATCTATCCTTGTTTATTAATTAGGCTGCAGGAGTTAAATTTGGTTCATTTAAGCACTATATTTAGTATTTATTTCTTTACCCTATTATCACTGTTTAAACTTTATCTCTTCTTCTCTATTTCAGTAATACTAAAAAGCAATAAAAGTCCAATGGCAGCGACTCAGTTGCAGCAGTTTTCTTGCTCCAGCAAGTCTAAGAATGGCTCTCTGTGCTCTGACCTGGGTGGAGACCTCTTCTGCATCTCCTCTGTCATCCTGACCAGTCAAAGCCAATAGCAGCAGGGATATCACTATATTGGTTAGGCTGTAAAAAAGCTACTCACTCATGAGCCTCAAAACCACTGGCCCATCCTAACACTCGGATATCCAGAAGATTTTGGAACAATCAGATTTGAAATGGCCAGGTTTTGTTTGAAGAATGAAACAGAAACAGCATGTTTTATCTTGAGCTTGAAACAAAAACTCTTGGAACATGAGTGTTTTGAGCATGGAAAAACGTTGAGCTTAGAATATTTTGCACACTCTTAATCTTGAACTACAGCTTTTCAATGAGCAAAGAGAAAGCTGCCTTAGTAATAATAGTGGTTGAGTTCATAAAATCACTGCTTAGAACAGATGCAGACCTATGAATCCCAATGAGCAGGACTAGATGTAAAACCTGAATCTCTGTCTCCTGAGTTTTCAAATGTATTTTAAACATTGTCTTAGTTATTGATCTGGATTTTGTTGAGATGTGATCAAGTAAAAGGGAAAAGAAAAACACTTTAAAAAGGTATTAGAAGAAGGCATTGGGAGTCATGTGGCAAGGAATCTGGCAACAATCAATCCCAAAGTTAAACAAGATTGAAAAGCTTTCTGAGAAGCATCAATCTTCAAACAAATATACATTTTACTACTTCATTCTAATAATGCCAGATATGAGCCACCAAGAGCAATTCTGATTATGGCAACATAGAAATGTGTTAAATAAGAAACGTCTGAAAACAGATGGTACTGTTTATGACAAGACTAAATTAAAGCCTTTGGGGCTTCCGGTTTTGCGCAGTAGCGTAGCAGCCGAGGAATCACTGGGCTCCGCACGCTACGGCTGATTTCTGCCTGTTAGGTGACTCTAAATGGGCCTGAAGTCACCCCATAAATGCGATAAGGAAGGAGGGAAGTCCTGCCGAGTGTGGAGAGATCGTGGTTGATCCGTTCGGTCTGGGAAAAGCCCTACAGAAACCAGCAGGAGAAAGGCTACCTTAACTTCAGAGTCTAGCCCAAGCTACAAGCAGCTAAATCCCAAAAGCACTATTTTAAGCTGATTGTGAACAACATGTTTGGAACTGGGTAAGAACAGTGATTTTCTCTCTTAAACTTGATAATTGATTTGCTGGGAAAAAAACCACCAAGAAGCAAAAGGCCTCCAAAAGTGAGAAGGAGGGGGATCTTTGCCCCACCCTTCTACAGACAGAAGCAGCGAATTAGACCTTTAAGTGGGGACAGAAATACATTGAAATGAAATGAATATAAGACCTAAATCTGGATAAGTTTGAAATTGGTGGAATGTGTTAAAATTTCCCTTTTAAAGCATGAAAATAGAAGAAAACAACTGTTTATTTTGAAATTTGAAAAACTAACTAGTGCTGACATCTAGTGGTGGATGAAAATATTGCAGTTGCTTCAATACAGCCCAGGAAAAGATAACTTGTTCTTGGTGACCTTCAATATCTTAAAAACAGAGAACAGCTATTACAAAACAAAAACAAAAAAAACCCATCTTGGGCTACCTACAAAGCAAGGATTATAAACTTTAGAAGAAAAAATGACCTTTCTGGATTATAAATACTTATTCAACTGTGACTTTAAAGCTGTCTGCAGAGAAAGGAAAACCCTGATTTTTGGCTATCATGGAAAACCAGAGATCTGCAGAAAGAATATACCAAGAAAAAACAAATTCCAGGAGGAGATGTATGCTGTGTTGCAACTAATTCAAATAACAATGATCTCAAACCACAAGGAAATTAAAAATACCTTTGAAAACAAAATGAATACATCTCCAATTTAAGTTTACAATAAAAAAAACTCTCAGAAAATAAAAATAGAGAGTGAGCAGATAAAACAGACAACTGATGAACCAGAGGAGAGAGATTTAAAGATGGAACCTAACAACAGAAGGAAGTATGACTCAACCCAGGTGGAAAAAACCCTACAGGAAATAATGGACATGGAAAAGGTAACTTATACTCTAAGATCACAAAATAAGTCTGAGGACAAGAAAAAAGATGTGACAAAATGGATTACAGAACTTAAGAGACAAAAAAATGATAAGAGAAATTAAGAGAGAAAGAAAGGAAATTTTTTTTAGTGAATATGAAGGGGCGAAACATTCCTATAAAAACATCTCACCCAATTTGCCCTTTGTACCTACAACAACATCCATAAGACTATGGGATGGCTTTTTGATTCAGAGAAACATATTGATCAGGAAAGATGTTTGGCAAAAAAAAAAGAGGCTAAAATGAGAATGAAGAAATTAGATGATGGGATCTATCAGAAGGAATATTTGAAAATTAAACATCTGTTTGAATATGGTTAAAGTAATAGAAAGATTTTGGATATAAATGAATTTTAGTTTAAGAGGGATGAGCCCCTCAAGTAATATAGTATTTCTTCTTCCTTTTTTCCTTTGTGTTTTGTTTTTTGACAAGAGAAATATAAAAATGTTGGGATGGTTCATATAAAGGAAATGTTTTAGATACTTAAGTGAAAATGATTTTGAGAAAACTAAATGGATAAAAATATTTTGATTAGATCCAAAAGATTAGATAATTGGATTTATTAAATGGAACACTCAAAAATTAAACATATGTTTGAATATGGTTAAAAAGAAGAGAAAAATTCTGGATATAAATGTACATTAATCTAAGAGGGATATGTATTTTAAGTAGTATACTATCTTTTTACTTTTCTTTTTTCAGTTTTTTTTTCTTTTTTTAAGATATGAGAAATGTAGAAGTATTGGGAGGGCCTGTATGAGGAAAGACTTAAATACTTAAGTGTAATGAAAATTTTAATCAATAAGAATGTTTCAAATATTGTGGGGAAAACAAACTTAAATAAGAATTTTAAACAGGATCTATGATAAGGCAATCAATATGATCAGTTAGAAAAGAAGGTTTATATCAATGTGGTTATTATTTGCAGAAATATTAGAAAAATGTCTATATTTGTTATTTATCATAATAATAATAATAATTGTATTAATTCAAGGTTGGCAAAAGAGATCATTTTTGGAAGAAGAGAACATCAAGCAAAGCTATTATGTGGACTATAGAATTATAGAAACTAATTGTTATTATTTTTTAAATATAAACCCAGACAACATGATGTTTATCAAATATTAAGGTGATTATGTAAAAACATTAATAAAACATATTTTTTTTAAAAAATAAAGCCTTTGGGATGTCTAATTGCTGATGTTGCCATGCAGGGAAACACAATCTGAAGCTGCAAAGAGAGTATTATAGTGGGAATTTGGAACATAAGAAAATAATGTTTAGGATCATACAGCACAGATTATGGACCTCTATAAAAAGGAAATGCCAGATGGTCATGCTGGGTTTAAAAAAGGTCAAGGAAAAAAGACATTATTGCTGCTGTAAACTGGATAATTGAGAAAGCCAAAGAATACCAAAAGAATATGTGCTTCTTTGATTATAAGGCTCTCAATTATATCAAGCTGCAGAATATGCTCAGAACAATGGAAATTTCAAAACACTGTATTGTCCTCATGCAAAACCAATGCACATGTCAGAAAACCAAAGTCCAAACTGAACATTGTGAAACAGCCTGGCTCTTGGTTAGCAAAGAAGTAAGACAAGGCTGCGTGTGTACTCTCTCCTTATTTATTCAGACCATACACTGAATATATATTGAGGGAAGCAGATTGGAAAAAGATGAGTCAGGTTTTGGAACTGGAAGAAGAATCAACATGTGCTGTGCTGATGACACTACTCTGAGAGCTGAAAATGCAAATAATCTGCAAACTCTGGTGATGAAAGCCAAAGAGCAAGGTGAAAAAAAGAGACTAAGATTAAATATAATTAAGACCAAATTAATCGCAATAAGTACAGCAATCAGTCTTAGAATTGAGAATAAAGATATTCAAACAGAAGATAGCTTTTGCCTTTTAACTATCTACTATTGAGACTAAAGGAAGAAGAGGGCCACAGACTAGGATACAGTAGTGATGAAGGACTTAGAGGCCTTTGGATGCCAAATTCAGGCTATAAAAATCAGAATCATGAACTCAATGTTTTTTCTTGTGACAATCAATGGAAGTAAAAACTGAACTTTGAAGGAATAGGATAGGAAAAGTGTTATGTATTGATGTAAATTACTTGGTATCAGTTATAAACAAGTAACTGCTGTTTCCGTTTAAACTCCAGACTGCCTATCTGCAGAATTGCAAGTTTGTGTTTTGGGCGGGAATAACTGCTTTAATTCCATTGGCCGCCGCCGATATAAATAGAAGTTAAGCGGCTGTTAGAGCTGCTTCTGTGTTAACCAATAAACGTGTTGTTATTTTCACTTTCGCCTCGTCAATGCCTCAAAGATCCCACTACATAACAAAAAGTATTAAAGGTATTGAATTTCAGTATTGTAAAAAGCTCCTAAAAATACCATAGCTGGCCAAGAAAATAAAAAATAGATCATTAAACAAACCAACCCATAGTTCTCATTTGATGCATGCCCAAATGACCAGGCTTAAATTATAATCTTTTGGACACAATATGTGAAGACCTGGCTCTTTAGAGAAGTCGACAATGCTGGGAAAGGTAGGAAAGAAAAAAGAAGATATTTTGCCATAGTCCCTCCTGCCAAAATATTTTACACACAGACACACAAAATGTCAAATTTAAAAGCCACCCAATTCACTGACAGGCAATTCTGGGTGGCATACAAGTTAAACATGAAATCCCTATATTATACATAACTGTCCTTAATAATATTAAAAATACGAATCCCAGGTATACACATGTGGTAAAATAGACCCGATGAAGGGTCAAGGCGCAGAGGCAGCCAGTCACATAAAAACGGACTCCCAACTCGTTTTTGATTATGCATAACTGTATATAACCTGTATATAAAACTTCCCTATAAGATTATGGAAGTGGCCTGCCATTCCCGTCTTCCTAGGGCTGAGAGAGATTGACTGGCCTAAGATCTTCCAGCTGGCTCATGCCTAAGGAGGGCCTAGAACTAAAAATCTTTCAGATTGTATCCTGGTGCCTTAAACACTGGGGCCAGGCCAAACGGATTCTCTTAATTCTCTCTGCGGGCCTCAAAGTTTACCCGAAGGACAGATTTGCTGTTTCATTTCCAATTCTTTAACCCCAGCAAGAGCGATCAGCAGCCAATGAGCAAATTAAGTTTGGAAAAGCGGCGATGAGAGCAGAGCTCAGGACTGGATGAAGCTCTGCGACCCCTAACCACCCCCACCACCATCCCCGGTCCTTCAGCTCCTGCTTTCACTCTCCATTTTATTCTCTCCTTTAACCTAACTTTAGTGGCTACTGTTACTCCAAAAGCCAGGACGGGTCATTCCGAGTCGCCTAACTCCGGACTTTGCNGGTGCCTCTGCAGGCTTTTTGGTCCAAACAAAGGAGCCGGCAGGGGAGGCTTTGGGGGCCTGGTTGAGCTGCGACCTCCCAGGGCAGAGTCGGGAAAAGGCAGAGAGCCCTCTTGGGTGCTCAGTTCCGACTCAGCAGCGTTGCAAATATTGACAAGAGGAAGAAAGCGAGTCTTGGCCTCGCGTTGCAGGGTCCTCTCCGGCACCAGGGATAGTGAAGTATTTTTAGATGATGAGGTCTAATTGCTGCAATGGACACAGCTCTCCCTCTCTCACTTCCCAAAACATAAAGGAGGGAGGGTGCCTGTGCAAGATAGCAAATGCAGCAGCTGCTGCTTCTAGGTCTTCCTGCCATTTTTCTGTGTAGCATAAAACTAAGGCCCAAATATCATTGATGCACCACAGAGGAAGGACTGGTTTGCTTTTCAGTCTTTGAACTTTTGTCACTTTCTCCCGCCCAGAAAAGAGACAATGGATCAGAAGTAAGGGACTGCAATAATGTTGGTGTACATAAGTTATGACGTACAGTACTCAGAATCAGTTGTTGAGGTGGGTGGCTATAGAAATCAAATAATAAATAATCTTGATTCTAGTTGAGTGATTGTTGCCCCTGACCAGGACTGGGCTGGCTGGCAAAAGAGACAGGGAAGCGAGCAAATGCAGAGGTATGCGCCTAAAAATCTAAGTTCCTTCCTTCTGTCCAGGTTGAGAACCCTGTTTTCCTCTGACTCACTGAATATCTCCACAATAATCTAATTAGAGCAGTCTGGTAGGTAGTGTACATGCAGGTTTGGAAGTTGAACCTTAGAATATATTTTTGTTAGATTTATATTTCACATTTTCATATAGTAAACTCAACACTTGTTCCTAAAGATTTTCTGCACAATCCGGTTGAGCTGATGCCTGAATTAGCAGAGTATCATTCTGAAGAATGCTACTCCACTCAAACTAAATAATAATAATAATAATTATAATAATAATAATAATTATAATAATAATAATAATTATAATAATAATAATAATAATTCATAAGTTGGAAGGGATCTTGGAGGTCATCTAGTCTAACCCCCTGCTCAGGCAGGAAACCCTATACCATTTCGGACAAATGGCTGTCCAGTCTCTTCTTTAAAACTTCCAGTGTTGGAGCATTCACCGCTTCTGAAGGCAAGTTGTTCCACTGGTTAATTGTTCTGTCAGAGAGTTTCTCCTTAGTTCTAGGTTGCTTCTCTGCTTGATTACTTTCCATCTGTTGCTTCTTGTCCTGCCTTCAGGTGCTTTGGAGAATAGCTTGACACACTCTTCTATGTGGCAGCCCCTGAGATATTGGAACGCTGCTATCATATCACCCCTCGTCCTTCTCTTCATTAAACTAGACATACCCAATTCCAGCAACCATTCCTTATATGTTTTAGCCTCCAGTCCCCTAATCATCTTTGTTGCTCTTCTCTGTGCTGTTTCTAGAGTCTCAACATCTTTTTTACATCGTGGTGACCAAAACTGGATGCAGTATTCCAAGTGTGGCCTTACCAAGGCCTTGTAAAGTGGTATTAACACTTCATGTGATCTTGATTCTATCCCTCTACTAATGCAGCCTAGAACTGTGTTGGCCTTTTTGGCAGCTGCAGCACACTGCTGGCTCATATTTAAGTGATTGTCCACTAGGACTCCGAGGTCCCTCTCACAGTTACTACTATTGAGCAAGGTACCCCCTATACTATACCTGTACATTTGGTTTTTCTTGCCTAAATGTAGAATCTTACTTTTTCACCATTGAATTTCATTTTGTTAGATAGCGCCCAGTGTTCAAGTCTGTCCAGATCCTCCTGTATCTTAAGCCTGTCTTCTGGAGTGTTGGCTATTCCTGCCAGCTTGGTGTTGTCTGCAAATTTGATGAGTTCCCCATCTATCCCCTCGTCCAAATCGTTGATGAAGATGTTGAAGAGCACTGGGCCCAGAACAGAGCCCTGGAGCACCCCACTACACACTTCCCTCCATGTAGAACTACTATTCTTTTTGCTTGCATTTTGATATCACTAATAGAATTGTCTCCAAAAGCAGTTTTTGGGCACAGGGACTTTCTTTAATGAAGCTAAATGTAGAGAGTTTTTTTCCCTCAAAAATGATTTTAAAAGTTTCTCCCCGTTTTTTCAGAGTAAATACATGTGCTGAATAATCTGAATTAAACTGCATTACATTTTTAATATGTATATGATTCATTAAAATACTTTCCTGTTACACAGCATCAGCAACAGGTTTAACTTGCTTTTAACTGACCCTTTAACTTTTTGTCTGCTTGTCTACAGAACTGTTGCAAGCAGCTGCTGGAGAGGAGCTACAACTTTTGATTACAACTTGTGTTGCATTATTCCATTCCCACAGATTCCATTGTAGTTTTAATGAATAATTTTTATTTCATCAAATTAAAATTCTTAGTTGTCAACAAATTTCAATTATTTATATTGCAGAAATGCAGTGTAAGATGCTCAAAGCTACATACACATTGATTTCGATTCCTGATAGTTTGTTATGTGCTTGGATTGCAATGATTTCAAATTGCAAGTGGGGAATTACATGACTGAAATTACTCTTGTTCATTAAAAAAGCAAAATATAACAATCGTTTGGGCACACAAACACCTAGCATGTCAGTAAGTAGTATAGGAAAGCGTTCTATTTCTTACATTTTTTCCATACATTTAGAACTCGTGTTTTTTGATTATGATATAACCTCGCCTAAATTATGAAGTGGTATGAACTGCTTATCTCTAAAAACAGCTTGCATGCTCTGTTGGTGCAAGTGATACTTATTTAAATGAATTTAACTAAATGCCATGGTAATGAAATTGTACATCACTTGCTACATATGTTAGACTCTTCCTGGATTTGCATAATATATTGAGATGCAAAGTACAGCATATTATGTGAACATGATCATATATGCCACTGTTACAAAGAACAATGTCATTGGAAACAAAAGAATGAGCCTATTCTGAAGGTTTTTTTGGGCGGGGGAAGGATTTGGAATATATGATAGTGAAAAAGCCAGTTTCTTTGGTCTAGTACAGGGGTAGGCAACCTTGGCTCTTTTATGACTCGTGGACTTCAACTCTCAGAATTCCTGAGCCAGCCATGCTGGCTCAGGAATTCTGGGAGTTGAAGTCTATGAGTCATAAAAGAGCCAAGGTTGCCTACCCCTGGCCTAGTAATTAAGGTACCAAGCTTGAAGCCAGGAGATGGTGAGCTCTAGTCTCTCCTTGGGCATGAAGGTCAGCTGGGTGATTTGGGGCCAGCCATGCTCTCTCAGCCCAATATACCTTACAGGGTTGTTGTAGGGAAAGGAGGAGGAAGTGGAAAAATATGAGAAGGAGTATTATGTATGTTTGCCTCCTTGAATTTTCATAATAAAAATGGTGGGGTAATTTTTTTTTTAAAGTCCCACAGCCTCATTAGGATGCTTCATGGAAGCTGTTGTTTCTTTTTATTTTTTTTTTCTTTGTATCTATATTTTCTCCTTGTCAACTAGGAGAGGGCTTTTCAACCTTTTCACAGATTGTACCACTTTGAGGACATGACAATATTTGAGTACCACCAGTCCCGTAGCAAGTTGTCAAAAACTGGATGACTAAAAAAAAAGGAGAGGGGATTTTGGGCTTTACTGGTTAGATTCATTTGTTGTTATAGAAATGGCTAGTTCATAATATTATGGAAAAATAAAAAGTTGAGGTTCAATGTTAATGCTTCCTTCCTGCTGTAACAGTGGAACTCAGAAGTCAGTGCCTTTTCTTTTCTTTTTCCCTTCTCTCCCTCACTATTCCCTTTTTCTTTCACCCTTCGCTCGCAAACCCCGCCTCACCCTTTGCTAGCAAAAGCCTCTTGCTTGCACTCATTCATTCACACGTTGCTCGCAAAAGCTTCTCTCTCACTCTAATTCATTCACACGTTGCTTGCAAAAGCTTCTCTCGCTTTCATTCACTCACACATTGCTCACACAAAGCCGTTGCTTGCTCTTTCACTAATTCACCCTTCGCTAGCAAAGGCCGCTCGCTTGCTCACTCTCTCCTCACCGCTTCGCTAACAAAAGTCTCTTCTCTTTCTCCATATGTTTTTTTCTCTCCCTCTTCCGCCAAAACCTGCTCCTCCTCTCTCCGCCCTCCGGGTGCGCCAGAAGCTCCAACCAGCATGTAGCTTCGCGGACATGAGCCCTGCAGCTCCAGCTGATCTCCTCCAGGCCTGCGCAATGCTACTTTAACGCATTCCTTCCCCTGCTACACTTGGCTAGGGGTCAGGTACCACCTGCCAGGTGCTAAAGTACCACCGGTTGAAAAGCCCTGAACTCTAGGATATTAAAATTTTACAGGAAGCCCTCACAACCATAATGGAGCCTGCCCATTACAGTCACAAGTGGTCACAGCTGTTAAGCCGGACCAGCTCACTTACAATCCTAATTTCTGGTTCTCCCTGATGCAGCCATTAAATTGTGGGGTGCCTCAGGCGTAAGGAAGTCCTGGCATGCTCTGGGCCTCCCCCACCCTCTGAGATACCCCATGCTCCGCTCCCTCCCCTTAAGGATCCCTGCAGGCATTTGGACATACTTTCCCCTTCTCGGGGTCCCCACATGCCTTTGGGCTACTCCCAGGGGACTGTTACAGGATGTAGGCCTTGGCCAGCTTCCCACTCAGATACCCAAGGGAGCCTAAACTCTGGCAGCCGAAGTTACTGGTGCATGGGGAGCTCTACTTGCTTGAGGAGGCTCCATTTGTTTGGGGAGGCTTTTTAAAGAATGGAGCGTCCTAGCACCTGGTTGCCATGAGCAACCTCTGTAGAAAAGCTGATCCTGGCAATGCATTGGCTACCCCCCCTGCAAAAACCAGAAATTTAACTTGAATGTTGCTGGGCCCTGAAGCTGACTGAGGAGCAGGCCGAGTCTTCCAAGTCCTTTGGGTGTTGGAGTGGGATGCAGGCTGAGACCTTTAAGCTGTAATAGCCCCTTGCAGGTTGGTAGCTTCTGTTACCTGGATTTAGGCTACCTTGGGTGACTGAGGTGGTTGGGTTGGGAGCAGGCCAAAAGCCTTTGGGGGTGGAGGGGGGGGTAAATAGGTGGAGGAGCATTGTAGCATCCCTGCAGTTGGTCATAAGAATGAGCAATTGTATGTGAGGGGAGGGACTGCAGCAGCTATAACTTTGAAGCTGAATTGTAAGTGGATTTGGGGGAGTCTTTTGTAACTTTAAGTTATCTCTAAGTGACTGGTTGTAAGTTGAGGGCTATCTGTATTATAGTATCCTGGTGTTTAAAGATGGTTCTTCCAAAATAAGCCTTACTAAAACTAGCAACATTTGTAACACCATAAATTTGTTTAGGCAGAAATATTTAGAATCAGCTGCTCACTTCAGGACTATTGCCAATAGGCAGGTGTGCCTTTTAGTAAGACCCTCAGGCAGATGTTAGGTGGTCCCTTCACAGAGTAAGCTTGAATGGAACTAATGATCTAAAGGTCAAATGTTTCTGCATCCTGTTATCCTGTGTAATTTTGGACTTGTCCCTTTCCTCTAGTATTTCCCCTTTCCCCCATTGGCATTCAACATTATCTTTCTATTTGTAGCCAAAGTATGAAAATTTCTTACAGCATGAGTAAATGTGTGTGTATGAGAGAGAGAAAATTGCTTTGAAGTCAGTGTTCACTCCTGGAATTTCCCTGCACTTTTCTTGGCAAGGTTTTGCATTGTCATTGCATCCTTCTTAGGCCTGAGAAAGAGGGACTGGTCCAAAGTCGCCCAGCTAGCTTTGCACCTAAGGTGGGAAAGCTAGAAATCAGGACGCTGAACTGCACAGAGTTCCAGTTTCTAGCTTGGTGCTTCAAGCATTACTGTACACCAACTGACTTTTAGGGAAAGATAATTTGGATTACTTTGATAGTATTTTCTGTATCAACATGCAAACATCTATCCTTTAGTTTCAGCATGAGGGAGGCTGTAATAGGAATTGTATCAACATTTACTCTTCGGTTACATTTATTATCCCTTTATGTTTGTAATGAGAAAAAAACTAGAAATTTGTTTGGGGTGGTTAGAGTGCTAAAGGGCAACAAGATTAAGCTACTCTAATTAATCCATTTACAGAGGAACTGATTAGGCATTCCAGTTTATTTTGCATGAGTTAGCATTTTCAGTCGTTCTTATTATACATTGGCGACAATTTGAATACCCAAGTTATATGGTAACAGTAAGAGCCTATCTTTAAGAATTGTTAATAAATGTAATAAGAGTACAAGGTGGCTTAACTGTAAAAGCATACACCTCATGACTTTTGCAAGAGAAGACATGATTTTTAAAATGTTTTCATTTAAAACTATGTTGAAGCATAGAATAAGCCTGTCAGCGCCTTTGCTTTTTTAGTTTCAGACTCTTGTGTTTAAATGTGGAGTAAAATGCCACATAATTTAAGCAGTAGACCAATGCTGCATTGAGATGGAAAAGGGAATCTTAACAATAATTAACATTATTCTTCTTTTAAAAAAAAACAACATTTGACATTTGATTTTAAATTTATTTTTATATAATTAGGCTAACTAAGTACTTTTTCTCCCTCCCTAGATAATTCTGTATGGTGATTTGCCAAAAAGTAAAGAGAATGTGGTATATATATCAAATCATCAAAGCACAGGTTTGTATATTGCTGGTTTCTTTATGAATTTTATGTAATGTTAACAATTATGATGAATGATATGGAACTGCAGTAGTCCTGCCTTAAAAACTATAATTGGGACTTGAGTTTTACTCATTAAGATGAGATGCCCATGTGTCTTCACTGCTTCACTGACAACCGCAATTCCACCATTCTCTGTTGCAATCATTAAACAATTTTACGGATTGTTAAGTGAATGAAGTCCCTCGCCATGCTTGTGGAAGGATTTTGGCTTCATATATTCTTGGATTTCAGCTGCTGAGGCTCAAGCAGAGATGAAGACAGGCATTCTCCTTTTTTGCCTCTGCAGAGCTCTCTGCAGATCCAAGAAGGCATAAAACAGCACATTCAGCCCTCGGAGATGAGAGGGTGCCAAATGGTAGCACTTTGCAACCTTCTTGTCAGCTTCCCCATTGACTTTCTGTGGAGGCTGAGAGGAAAGATTTTGCAAGCGGTGATCACATGATCGTGAGGTGCTTGACAACCAGTCATAAGGGCAAAGAAGTGGCCAAGCAACCAGATTGTAATCACATGATCACCTTTTCTGAGGCCTTCATAATTTCAAACAGTCATTGAGCAAGGACTATATGCAGAATTAACATTCAGATTAAAATGTCGATAGTTGAATATTTGGGTTACCTACTAATTTACTCTATTTGTAAGATATGGTAGAGGCTTGATTTTTTTTGTACAATATGGCATAAGCCTGATTTAAAAGGGCAAGTTTTCTACATACAGTGAAGCTTTTAAATTTCTTCTTGGCAAATTCAGGCTCATATCTTTCCTTTGGTGCTCCTGCAAGATGAGATATCTAATTTCCTCCAGTTCCTTAGTGAAGTGAATTAAATAGCATCATATTAATTTAAAACTTTTTTATTGAAAATTAAGAAATAAATGGAGAATGAAAAGGTCAAAGCCTAAAAAGAGAAGGAATAGAATTTTGAAAAGAGCTTATTTTACTTTGTAACTGAAAAGCTCAATTCATGATCTTTAGCAGCATTTGTTTTTCGTGAAAGAATTGGCATTGCGTATGCCAAGAATGTATTATATTTATAAACATTTGTGTTCTGGGTTTGCAGTTGATTGGATTATAGCAAATATGTTGGCCATCAGGCAAAATGCTATTGGACATATTCGATATGTTTTGAAAGACGGATTAAAATGGCTTCCTTTGTACGGGTGTTATTTTTCTCAGGTAAATCTTAATTCTGTTTCTGTATTTTTATTTGTTTATTTACCATATTTATATAGCTGCTCATCTCATAGAAAAGTGACTGTAGGTGGCGTACAACAAAAACAATTATATTTATTAATAGCAAGCTAGTTGAGAAAAAAATATTACAAACATTGCAGCTCTTTATTTATCATAGAGCCACCCATCTCACAGAAAAGTTTGTAGTAGTGTAAAGTAGCTAGCAGTTGATGCTTATTTTTTATACAATTGATTCTGCAAATATTTGGAAATCCCATTAGTTTCAGTAAAATATCATCCCCAGTAAAGGATCTCAATTAATGTGAGAATTTTTTGCCATAATAAATGGCTAAAGTTGCTACAATACTTTCATTGTGCTGCTAATGCCCTGAAAAATGCTAAATATTTCAATCCTAACTAGATTTACTTTGATTTAGAAGTAAACCATATGGCATTCATCATAGCCAGGCAAGTTGGCATCATTTACAGCCTAAGTAGCCACTGAACCAAACACAATTAGAATTCCCATGTAAGAATTCAATGTTAACATTTATTTCATTAATGTCAGTGTCTGACACAGGTAATGCCTTGTCACTACCCTCCCCTACCCTCCATTGTGTTGTCTAGGTAAGTATTTAAAATTTGGATGGAGCCTCACTTTTGAGGCAAAAGAAATAGGTTGATTCTGGACCTCTCTGAATTTTTCACTGCTTAATAGTCTTACTACTTTGGAGCTTCGGCATACTAATAATCTTACCACATATTCCCACACTTAGAGAAACATTCTTTTGTCTAGATATAGACAAGATATAGAATCAACTGTCTTTGGGTTAAAAACTACATTTTTTTTCTGTTTCCTATTTTTTTAATAGAATAATATTGTAAAATAAAAACATAAAAGTCTGCATGTTCCTATCATTGCAAAAGCAAATTTAAGAGCATAGAAAGCTGCTTACCCTACAGCAGGTAAAATGCTGTTACATTAATTTTTATTTATTTATTCTGGAGTATAAAAATACTGTTTCATGAATCATTCAGAGTTACAAACATATTCAATTTGTTTATATACTAGCATGGTGGAGTGTATGTGAAACGAAGTGCCAGATTTAATGAAAAGAAAATGAGGAACAAGTTGCATATCCAGATGAAAGCAAAAACTCCAGTAAGCTTCTTTATTTCCACTTTGTACAGTATATACGTTTTCTCTCTCTTTCTCTCTCCCCCCGTGTGTGTGTGTGTGTGTGTGTGTATTTGGGTATGATATTATATGACACAAAAGTAAACTTCAAGAGTCAATTCATTTTTTTCAGAATCAAATGCTAATTTAGACTTTCCTTCCAAAAAGTGAGGCGGCTACTTTAAGCAGTTCTCTTCGTTTGGTTGCTGGAAGAATAAATATCTGTACCTTCCAGGAAAAGTTCTGGTGTTAGGATGCAAAACTGTTTATATAGAAAAATTACGCTATAGAAACTCATTTTTTAAATATCCTGATAATTCTGTTGAGGGGTCATATATATTTCTTTTAAACAACCCTAAGCAACAAGATAGGTAGTCCTCGACTCACAACCACAGTTGAGATAAAATTTTGGCTGCTAAAGTTGCAGTCTTTAAGCAAGTCATCACATGATCAGATCCAATTTTATGACCATTTTACTCCTATTAAGAGAATTGCATGGCCATTATACCAATCACATGGTCGTTAAGCAAATCCAGCTTCCCCAACTGTCACAAATCACAAGATGCTATAACTGTCATAAATGTGAGCTAATTGCCAGGTGCCCAAATTGTGATCATGTGACAATGAGGACGGTATGCAGATTGCAACTTCAAGGATGGTCTGTAAGTCACTTCCTGAGGTAGTTGTAATTAAACAAACAGTTGTAAGTCAACAAACAGTTGTAAGTCAACGTTGTAGTGCGAACCTATTAATGTAAGTTTATATTAATAAAAAATATCAATTTAATAAATGGTTGTATTTATTAAACAGCAAAGAGAATAAGAGTGACATTAAAGAAACAAAAAGAATAGTAGTTTCAATTTAGTCTTATTGTCCAAATAATTCATTATGAGATGGTAGTGTTAAATGAATTGAGTTTTGCTTTTTTGCAGCAAGTCTGGGTGAATTCTGCATTCTTTCACAAATTACATTTGTGAGAACTGATAGAAGCACAAAGTGATTGTGTTATGCTGCAAGAAAAATGAGACTTTTGACCGAAGCAACCTCATTGAAGCTCGGTCTTACAACTTGCTTGTAATTTAGTTCTCGGTCTTGGAAGGCTGAACTGTTTAACTTAATAAAACTGTTTGTACACACCGACACACGCACACATACACACACACACATTTATATATATTTAATTCCACAGATGTACCTTGTGATTTTTCCAGAAGGAACACGTTACAATCCAGAGCTGCCCAAAGTCATTGCAGATAGTCAGTCATATGCTGATAAGGAAGGTAAGAGAAATAAAGTAGATTTGAGATGAAAAGACAAGCATGACAGAGTTCCATTTATTTAAACTAGTTTTCTCCCACTTTTCTACTCTAAAGCAGTTGTGAAGATAAAGTGAAACCAATAGATTACAAATGCTTTACTTGAAATCCACCGTCATGTGGCATACAACAAGCTGTTAGAGCCAGGATTTGGGGGTGTAGTCAGATCTACTGCTCTTCCCAAATGTTTTTAAAGCCCCACCTTATGATAGGGGTAGTGCAGTTGCCCTGATTCTGATAGCATTGATCAATGGCATTGCCTATTTCTGTCAAGGTGAAACCAGTTACCATATTTTCTGTAGCAATATCACTTTGAATAGTGTGAACTTTATAAGGCGACCATTTCATAGGATTCATTAACTGCACTGATCAAGACCTACCTGTATTCCTAAACCTATCACTCTAACAGTTGGCAAATTTCTTTGGGCTAAGACTGAGAGATCCTCTCCAACCTATTCTGCTTATACCTCCCAGCCAATCTCTTTTCAAGCCTTCCAAAATTTCAGCTGGGAGGTGGTGCCTTGCATTGCCATTTTGAGAGACAGTTCTAATACCCAATCACCACACTGGTGTCATGACTGAATGGTCAAAGCAAGGTAGAATGTTAAAAATAGCCCTCTGGAGCAGAAACAAAAGATAACGAGGAGAAGGTTCTGGAAGCAAAGACTGAAAGAAAGAATGTCTGAGTTGAGTTACAGTTTACTGGTTAAGATTGTATACAACACTGTATTTCCTGTAAGCTGCTTTGAGTCACTGTTAGCATGTAGGCACCAATATGAATTTTCCAAATAAAATAAATAACTAAATATAAAATGTCTAGAAGTTTGTAAAAGAGGATATATAAGAAACTTGTTAGGGTTCGAAGAGCACATTTTGTGGAAAACTGGAAAAATGTTTTTTTTTCCAGTCTTGGAGTTGATAAAGTTGATTCAAAATTAATTTTATGTGCCAGGGATGCAACACCTGACAATATTTTATATTCCTTTGCAGTTTTGGAAGGCTGTAGATTTATAACTAAATTGCATTCACATGTCACTTATTTATCATGTTCAGATTGGACTCTTTGGATGCATGTTTTGTGTTCCATGATGAGGAAAACAATTGCGAGTATTAGTTATTGAAGAATATTTTTACCACAAGAGCTCTTTTTTGTTTAGTGAGTAGAGAACATCTGGTTATCTTCTCTGCGAATTAAATGTGTGTCTTAGAGAGATATGGAGGCTTAACGGATTGCTGTGAATGCCATGAACTTAAATGCATTTTAGAATTATCCTTATGATTTACTGAATTGATTCATGATACTGGGTAGATATGTGATCATTTTGCTTAAGGATAAGAAAGAAAAATAAAAACACTAGCTTGGGTCTAGAGAAAATCAGAATCAATGGCTTGTTTTAGACATGTCAGCTGCAGGATCTAGAGATGTTACCATTTTCCTGGGCAACTTGTTAAATCTTTTTCACTCTGCCTTTCCTCTTGGTTAGGTCTCACAGTACTGAAACATGTGCTTACTCCACGGGTGAAAGCCATTCATGTTGCTGTTGATTCAATGAAGAGCTACTTAGATGCAGTTTATGATGTTACAGTAGCCTACGAAGGTACTGTGGATCATAAAGGACAAAGGAAAGTGGCACCATCCATGACTGGTGAGTAGGTGCTGTTGAATTACTTTTTAAAAACCTTCTCTTGCCTGATTCAAGCTGGGAGAATCCACATCCTTCATGGAATGTCTACAACATTCAAGATGAACTTTTTCTGTGTCCCAAATGATATACGGTTGGGCTTAGCTTTTTGTTTGACTTCTAAGTTTCCAGTTAATGGCTCATTTCCATTTTAGGTTGTCTGTCTACTGGCCGACAAATACATTTGCTTACATAAACTAGCATTTAACATGATTTGTTGCTGCACTGGATTTTAAACTGGAGAGGGGAGCTCTTTGTTCTTTTTTTCTTATGCATGTTTTTATATTTTAATTATGTAGTTATATCATTTATATTTTGTTAGCATATAGTTACATTAAGAACAGCACTTTACTTTTTAGTGTGCAAAGGAAGGCATAATTTGTGACTTCCGTGATCTGTCTCTCCTAACAGGGCAAGAGTGAGGTCTTACCTCTTATGTCATAACAAGCATCACCACATGTGAGGCCAAATGTGTTTCAGATGGATTTAAGGAGGGGAAGGGCAGAAATAAAAGTGAAAATAGAACATTTCATCCACACAGACCAGGCACACTCATTGATTGACTATGTGCCACCAGGTCAGTGTCAACACTTAGCAACCACATCGATGGATATTCCCCAGGTTTTCCCGCCATGCATCCATCATTGCTGTAATTGAGTCCACCCACCTTATTGCTACTTATCTTCTTTTTCCCTTTCCTTCCACCTTTCCCAGCATTAGAGCCTCCTGCAGAGAGCTAATTCCTCACAGAATGTGTCCCAAATGGGATAATTTGAACCTGGTCATTTTTGCCTTGGGTGAGATTTGTTCTGTGATCCATTTGTTTGTTTTCTGGGTTACTCATAGTATTCTCAGGAGCCTTCTCTACCATCAGATACGAAAAGCATTCAATGCTGTTTCTATCCTGCTTCTTCAAAAACCAACTTTCACTTCCATAGAGTATCACAGAGAAAACCATTATCTGCACTCCTTTGATCTTTGACATCTGAATGTATTTTCCAAGCTTTCATTTCTACTCAGCCAAGTCTAGTCTGTGGCATATTTCTTTACTGCTACTTCTTTTATTAGTGATAGTAGATCCAAAAGCCATCCACCACTTCACTGTCTTCTTTTGCAGTTCTAAGCATGATGCTTTGCCTATTGTCATTAGTTTGGTCTTTATATGTAGTCTTACTCCCTTTTTGTCATCAGGCTGCTTGATTTCGTTATTAGAGATTGCAGATCATTGGCTGTCTCAGCACTCAGAGCATAATATCATCAGCACAACACACATTATTGATGTTTCTTCCCCAAACCATTCTGCTTTCCTCTGCCCAGAGAGTCCAAGTACATTTTCCTCATCGATATTTCTAACATTGGCATTCTAGTCTCCGATCACAAGCTGCTATATCAATTTCAATTTCAGATTTAATGTCCTATCCATTTCAAATTTAATGTGACCATTAAACTCGTGAACATTCTCTACTTCCAGATCAGTGGTTGGAGCACAAGTTGAAATAATCAAAATAATATATTGATCAGGTTCAAGAGCTGTCTGCAAAATCTAATTGATGTAATTGGTCAGATATTGTTCTTCCTTTATTGTTTCTGTGAAAATGCTGCTCTTCCTTTGTTTACTTGAGTTATACAGTGTAGGATCTCCTGAGAGTGTTTAATTCCTATCTATTTGAATTTGCTGATACTTAAGTTGTCAACGTTGGTCCATTCATTTCCTATTTCACTGTGTTGAACTTTTCTGTGTTCATATCTCTTACATAAACACCCATATTTATCCTTAATAAATGGGGATTTGCCACCAAATTATGGAAGGGGGAGGGTAGAATAGAAATAGAAAGCTGGAGAGTTGCATATTTGCTGTGGATCCATCCCAGTTGCATGTCCTTTAACCACAGATTTGTGGACAATGAAGTCTTGTGTTGTGACTGAATAATGCCCAGAGCAGGACATCAAATAATAGCCATCCCTGTTCTGAGTGCATTGGGGGAAGAGGGGCAATGGATTTCTGATCTTATGAGAGATGCAATGAAATAGTTGGTTATGTCTATGTGTATGTGTGTATACTTGCAATTTTCCCTCAAAAATGCTATTTTCTTTACTTTTCAATATACTTTCAGAATAGCATTGTATCCTATTTTATTCTTTTTAAAAATATTGGGATTTTTAAAGATGAATAAACGTTTATTAATGTCTACAGTTTTTTGAAAATAATGCTTTGGCACAGACTTACTTCTAAGTAAACAAGCATAACTTTGTATTTAACTTTTTTTAAAAAAGAAAATCATCATTTTTCTATAGGGTTTCTTTAATCTTAAGAATAATGCTCTAAAAATAGATACATTTTCTGAATATGGAATCTAGGGATTTATTTGAAGCAAAACACAGATGCTTTCATTTCACACCTGTGTATCCAGGTAAAAAATAAAATATGATGCATTCATCTGAGTCATCTATTTTTCTATCTGGCCACTTCCATTTAATAGATAGAGGCGCTGTAAAAATTATTATGTTCTTTTGTATATTTCAAGAAAAAATAGATTTCATGTTGTTTTTGTTCTTTATCTCCACCTAAACTAAATTAAAATAACAGTCTTTATTATCATTTCCATTCAATTAAGCCTGTGAGCAATTGCAATACTGTAAAGAGTCATGAGGGGTTGTGACAGTGTTTTAAGTTTAAATATCCAGACTTGAAACTTGGATCGGTTTTTAAAGATTATTAAATAAAGTGAGCCTTTAATTTTACAAAAAAGAAGAAGAAATTAATCATATTATAACAAAAGTATTTATAATGTTCTTCTGGATTTTAGACTTTCTTTGTAAGGAGTGCCCAAGAATTCATATCCATATTGAACGAATTGAGCTAAAAGACATTCCAGAAGAACAAATGTTTATGAGAAGATGGCTTCACGAACGTTTTGAAGTCAAGGACAAGTAAGTAGTAAAAGACCTGGCTCTGTATCTGGAGCATTTGATTTTCTTTTTAAGAAATAAAGACCAGCTATCTTTACTACTTGTATTAATAATGAATGTTGCTAGCTTAACATTTTACAAAATTGTGTATGAATTTTATGCTATTTTGCACCTGGGAAGATTTGTGTGTGGAAAATAGAGTAAGGTAATAAGAAGATCAGTGGCTATGAGAGTGAGAAATATCACTCAAATCAACGTTGTGGTACTATACTAGTGATTGCAACTATGAATCAATATTGATGTAAATATTATTTACTTACAGGCCAAAAGACTCCCTGGTCCAGTTTGAATCAGTTTCTCCACATTTGTAAAACAATATTATTTTACAGATGTGGATATACTAATTCTAATTTCTCTAGGATTTTTTTTTTTTGCCTGAGAGTAAAGGATATTTACATCCATATTGATTCAATTGCAGGTTAACCTTCACTTCAAGCTATAAGTTAACTGATCTTGTCTTGAATTGCTGTGTATATTAGGCTAGTTGTGACTTATCCCAAATAAACCTGGGTCAATTTGTTGCAATAAATACACCCATATAGCTGAGTTAACACTCTACTCATTTTCATTGGAGTCCATTTAGCAGCTTTAATTATTTACATTTAGCTACTTAAGGGAAATAGAGCTGTGCAGTGCATTCAGAATTGGTCCTTCACAAAGCACATCAGTATGAAAAAGGGGGTCTCTTTGAAGAGTAAAACAGCCGTATCCTTTGTGAGACTTATGCAGCTGCTTCAAAAAAGATATGAATGTTTCCATTGGAATTGCTAACAGAATCTACACAGAGATACTAAGACAGCTGGCAATATTATTTATATGTAAGGGTGTAGGTTTCTACTTATGTTGTCTATAGCATGTTTAAATGTGTGTTGTGTATGTGTACACTTTTGAGAGCAAGCAGCAAACTTTCTTTTTTAATGTATGCCAATGTGCCCACAGTAAAAAATGAGAATAAAGGCTATCTATCTATCTATTCCATCCAGGGGTTGTGATTGCTTGAACATTTCAGAGAGAGATGCTGATATGTGCTAAATTGCTTTGTATAACACCTCTTTTAATGCTTTGTATAGCCCTATAAATAAGTCTGGCCAAATTACACGGTAGTATCGTATTTCCCCCAAAATAAGACCTCATCTTATATTATTTTTTGGCACCAAAATATGCATTAGGGCTTATTTCCGGGGAAACACGGTATCTGGATGATCAGCCCGGCTGGGGGGCCCATCCTGCGGCATGCGCACAAGAGGCAGTGAGCGCGCAGGGGCTGACGGTGTCCGGCAGCAGCTGCAGCCCGCTAGCCTCTTGGTGCAGCGCAGGTAAGTCTGAGCACAGAGGTGGGCGGGAGAGGCAGGTGATCCCGATGCGCTGCCCACATTGTCCTACTGTCTCTCCTGCAGCCGTGCCATGGCAAGCAATCATGAGGTGCGTTGGGATCGTCTGCCTTCCCCCATGCCTCTGCCTGCTGCCGGTGCTGCCGTGAGAGCCTCCTGTGAGCCAGGCGGACATGCAGCACATCTGGATTGCCTGCCTCACCCCCCGCCTCTGCCTCCACGCTTGTACTTACCTGTGCTGCGCCAAGGGGCTGGCAGGCTGCGGCTGCTACCGGATACCGTTGGCCAGTGTGCGCTCAGTGTCTCTTGTGCTGGCCATGCTCACCCCCCTGGTTTTATTTTTGGGGTAGGGCTTATATTAGGCCCACCCCAAAAAAATCAGGCTAGGGCTTATTTTTCAGGGTGGGTCTTATTTTTGGGGAAACATGGTAAATTTTGTGCTATTTGCAGATAAAGATTAAAAAGCTCAGTCCCTAATGTATGAAAGAAAAAATTTCAGGCCAAAAGTCATGGTTCTTGGAGGAAAATATTTGTGATAAGTTATCAGAGATAACCAGAGAATTGTACCAAAATTATATGATAAATAAATCTATGTTTAAACTTTTTCCTTGCTCCTAGATTGCTAATAGAATTTTATGATGCAAAAGATTCTCAAAGAAGAAATAGGTTCCCAGGGAAAAGTGTTCACTCCAAACTAAGTCTCCAGAAAACATTGCCATCCTTATTGTTTTTAAGCGGCNTTTTCTCTCTTGCTTTGCACATCACTTCAAATTCTTTCCTAAATTTATATTAAAATTTTAAATAAAGTCTTATCAATTGAATATTGTATCAACACACTCTGTTAATCTAATTCTGTTGTGGTTATGACAAAAAAGTAAATTATATTTCTGATTTTGGGAGAAGAACAAAGGAGATAACAAAGACTTAGCATATTTTTCTTCCATGAATATATATCTACCTACATATAACATACACTCTGTATGTTTATACTGGTTCAAATGGACCAGTGAATGGATTTTCTAGCATTATTTTAGATGAAAGTATTTATTTCTGACAAGGTTTTCTGCTTTTTAGTTTATTACAAAAGCTCTTACATCATAAACTAAAAACCAAGCTGGTTTCTATTGATACCTTCTTCTCTATTTGAATCTAGATATGTTTTTTTAGTTTTGAAAAGAAGTTGCTCAAGCACAGCCTGTAAAAAAAGCAGGCGAAAAACTCTTTATGGAACGATGAGTTTAACAAGTGAACGAAACTTTGATTCTGTTATGTGGCTAGTTAACTTCAGTTTTATAATCTTTTTTTAATCCACAAAGTGTAGTTTTTATTTAAACACCTTGTATTTGTACATGAATAATTATATATTCAAAATAGATAATGCACGACCTGAGGCTCATTCAGTTATAAATTACCTTTGCCAAATTTCTAGAACTCTTAAGCTAAACTGCCAGTTAAGAAACACCAGAAAAGTTCATGGATATTCCAAGTTCCTGTTTAGCTAGGCTGCTTCATGTACAGTGATTTGCCTATAAAGGTCTCTTCAGGTTAAGGAGAAAAATATATAATCCAGCTTATGAATATACCAGCTGTGAAACAACAATTAGAGATGGAAAATGTTATTTGTGAAATGAGTATGAACTGAAGTAAACAATGCTGCTGTGCAATCAAAAGTACATTTTATGGAAATGAGGAATATTTGTATGTTCTTGCCAAAATACAAAATATGTGCCTTTGTTCGACATGATTCTGAATTGCAGTCTAATTATTATGATTTAGACTTATTTTTGGATAATTTGAATGTTTTTGCACTTGATGTGTGCTTCTGATGAACAGGAGATTGAGATTGGGTTTTTGAGCTCTGATTTGAAATATAGAAAATATTCTATTAATATTTTACCTGCATGAGCATATTTTTGGTCACTGTTTGGAGACAGTATACAATTTCATAAAATTTAGCATCTGTCTATTCTGTATCTAATAGGAAAAGGGATGCTATTTTATACTTGTTGTTTTATACAACAAAAGACAACTGTCATGATTCCAATATTAAAATAAAAAACATGAAAAGCTTTTTAAAATCTTTCTGAACTTCTCATATCCGTTTTTTGCTCAAAGTGTTTGATACAAAAGGATCTAAAATGATCAGGTTTGAGTTTTTTTTATAATATTAAATATATTTTACTCCTGTACATAAAGAAAAACTAATTGTTCTTTATATTTGTCCTAAAATTATATAATGTATTTATTATTCTATAGATGATAATTTTCATCTGCTTCGCTGTTTGACTTTTTGTTCTCAGGTTAGTGGAAAAATCTAGTAACAAATTTTATGGAAGGAAAGTTTAGAATATTTAGAGTGATGTTTTGTGCCATGTCAAAACAAGCATATTTCAGATGGCTACAAACTTCTCTTGACTGTGTTTAGCTCTTAACGTAAAGATCCAGAAACCTAAAACCAATATTCCTCTCTTCATCTGTTTTGGTTTAATAAGGCAGAACAGTTAGTTGCAAATTTACAATTATAAATTTCAGGTCAAAAAGTCTCAGGAGCCAGTTCACTTGAGCCTCTTGCAATGATCTGCCCAGAGTTTCTACAGTTCCTTTGACTAAAACAAAGGCATATTTAAAAAGTCAGTTATAAATGGAGCGAAAGTAGTCTTGTGTTCTGGTTGTTTAATTTTATTATTTCTGTTTCTTATATTCCTCTTGCTACTTCAGTAGCTAGTTTTTAATTTCAGTTGAAGAAAATGGCTGCATGATCCCAGAGATTTAGGAAACAATTATGTGGTGTGGTGCAATTCAGATGGCAACATTTGTTGCAAAGGAGTACCAAAGGCGCTATTAGTTGTTTTATTTCGTTTTAGGTTGGAATCCTCTTAAGAAATTTGCCAGGTTCTCTTGTCAGTTTTAAGGGAACAATCTCTTATGAAAGGGTCACATTATGGAAAAAGTGAGGTGTTTGTGGCAGGATTAAATTAAAACATACATTTCCGTGGAAACATCTTTCAAAAGATCCCTTTTTTGTTTCTGAACATATATAATTACAAATATGATTTGTGAAACTGGAATATTCATAAATAACTGCTATTCTATGTCCATATTCTGTAACACCCATCCCAATATTTGCCCACTGACACGCCATAATATCCGTCTGTTACCACTCTCTAGCCCCCGCCTATGGCATCCACACACCTGATTACATTCCATAATGCCCAACCGCAGCACCCACTTACCCATATTATGTAGTGCCCACTCATGGCACTCAGCCGCACACCTGCCTGCCAATTCATAGCTCTCATTTACTAGCCTGCTTGTGCCTTTTTCCATATTGTGGTCACATCACATCCTCTCACTTAACAACCTTAGAGTTCTCGCTTAACATTAGCAACAGGGACTGCTGGAATTGCTGTTGCTAAGAAATGTGGGCACATGACATAGCACTTTATAATTGCATTACTTAGTGATGAAAATTCCAGTCCCAATTGCTGTCATAACTTGAGAACTACCTGTATAGAACAAAACGGTTTAAAAGTAGAAGAGGAAGACCAGATATGAAAATATAAGCAAAAAGAATAGAATATTACATCATTGTTACCAATATAAACTGTCTATAAGCTACGAAGCAGGCTGTCATTAGTCTTTAGTACTTAATATTGTGACATAAAACTAAGATTCTAAGGGACGTGGGCAAAAAGTGAGATCTCTCTAGATATGCACTTATTCAGAGTTATTCAAGGGTTAACCACAGTTCTACATTAAGGAATGTGAGATTTAGAAAACTTTGATTTTATCCTCCTGTCAGCATAACCAAATCTGGCAAACTCCAGGGAGGTAGAATCCATTTGATCAGAAAGAAGAGTCTGAATATAAAAGGTATCAGAATGAGTTGGATACTTTATGCCTAAGGATTCTAATATTCCTATAAAAACATCAATATAATATGGTAAAATGTATCTGCCTTCCAGAGTAGCTGATTAGCACATTTAATCGAGCCAGTGTTGAAGTTTTCCACAATTTGGATACTGCGATATAATTTAAATGTCTTGTTGGTCTGAGAATATAAGGTTGCCTGCACAGGAAAACATTCTGGGCAGGACAGACTGGTCTTGTCATTTTCCATGTCCAGAATGTATGTTGTGTCAGAATTCCCTTGGCTTGTTCATACTCCAAGGGCAAGAGTCTCTTGAAAAAAGCCATAAAAGTTCCATTTATCTAGGAAGCATCCTTTTCATCTAGCATTACAATTATCTGCAAGTGATAGGGAGCTCAGTCCTACGGAGAAAAATAAAGTTCGGCCAATACATGAAAATTAGCCAGATCTTCAACTCCATCTTAATTGAGCCCATGGAGGGTTTTTCTTAATAATTTAGATTGCATAATTTCTTGCATGATACTTTTTATACTTAAGTAATTGTCACAAGGACCAAACTACATGCCATGCAAGAACTGGGCACATGCTTGAGCAATAAATACCTTTTTTGGGGGGAGGCTGGAATAAATAAGGCTTCTCTTATTCAAACTTATGTCTAGAAGTCTTGACAAAATGCTCCTACTGACTGCCCATGCAATGGATTATCAGTGCTACCCAACAATGCAATCCTTCAATAGCTAGGACCTTCTATTTTATATGCATCAAGATTAGCCACACACCAAAATAAAATCTGTGATTGACAGACATATTGGGTACAATCAAACATCTGTTGGTTTAAATGTTGACACATAGCACAGAGAGATGTGCTGCATTGGAGGATCAGAATAGGTAGCCATCTCCACACTGCTACGGCGTTTGTGCCTATGATTGTGCAGACATGCATCGAATGAACTGTATAAATTACAGGTAGTTCTCAGCCACCATATCCAATAATATTGATAGTCTTTCTATTATATCAATAGCCAAATAAGAAACAAAGCAAAAAGATAGTGATCTGTTTGCAAATCTGGGGTCATGCTGTCTTTCCAACATCAAAAGTTGGATTTTGGATTATCCCATGCCCAATAAGACTATAACTCATAATAAGTTCCAAATTTGCAAAATGTATTCACAAATAGACCATTATCCATAAATCATACTGGTCGTGTTAATACCATGTTAACAAAGCAGAGACCAGAGTGAGAATATTGATACAATATTTTAGAAATATGCCTTAAAATGTTCCCAATCACTAATAAAATTACACTAGGTTCTTCACATTTATGAGTCTTGACAACCATTGTTTATTATAATAAACCAAAAATCCTGGTTTACAATTTTGTGATAATATGGTCACGTTCTACATCTATCCCAATTTTTTTAAAAGCAAATGCTAAATGTGTAGTAACTTTCCATTAAAATAAAAAAAAACTTAATATAACAAGTTCTGGTCAGTTTCTGCATATAAATTAGGATGGGCTTTTATACAAAACTATGCAATATTTTATGCTTTTGAGTGACATCTAAATGGTATGAAATATTTTTTTCTATCAGCATTCTGTTAACATCTTGTTTTGAAACAATACTGTTTCACTTGAACTGATATTTGTATACTTATTTCTATTTACTTGCATGATACTTTTTATACTTTAGGTGCATTGTGGTTTTTCTATTTTTTTAAAACAGTACATGTTCATATATAAGGGGAAAAAATGGAAATATGACTGTATTGTTGTTTGTTGTCTTGGTGTGGAATAAGATAGTATTGTTTAAATAAACAAGTAAACCAATATGTATGTGTTTATAATTACTAGTTTGTTATGAAATGATACATTTCTTAGCACATAATCTCAAACCAGCATTGGGTTTAATTTGCTTTTGGTACACATTCAATGTTTGGGGGAAAACTGCAATGTTTCATTTTTGCTATAAACTTTCCATTCAAATGGTGGCTTCCTTTGGATTGCTGGTTGCAATCTTCTTAATGGAAGGAATTTCACAAATTCTTGCTCTAAGGGCCTAAAATAGGGTAAATATTTTGTTACATGAAATCACAAAGTTAAATTGATTGTAACACAGTATAGGTATTTTGGCTAAGTCCTGAGAAACGTCTGAACAGGGTGTCTATATATTTCCTCTGTATAAACTAGAGGGGAAAAAATGGACACCGAGAGAGAGCAAGAACTGAATTTGTTGACCTCCATCCTGACCACAGGTAGCCAATACAAGAGCTAAGGTAGGAAATAAGATATTTTGATGTACCAGAAAAGCAACAAAGCGTTCTGAGAAATTAATTTTCTAAAAATAACTGAGCTGTATTTCTCCAGTGTTTTAAGGGAGTTGGTTAATATTAATTTATAATGTCCCTGCACACTTCTGTGGACTGTACAGGATAATGATCTTGTTCGAACAGTTTGGCTCTGATCATTTTTCTACTGCAAATTCTCTCCGAACAATCGGCTCTGATGTTAGAAATGGGAGCCAATCAGCATTGAAGGTATTAAGCAAGGCTCTTCCAGTCTGTTTGCTTATGTTTTTACAAGCAGTCCTTAGTTAACAGCAGTTGGGACTAGAACTACCATGACTAAGTTCATAAAGTACCATATCACATGACTGTACTGCATGAAATACTTTTGCTGAAAACATTTGATGTTGGTGTTCTTAACTAAATCATGAAATGTCATCCTTTAACCACAAGATGGCAATGGGACATTATAGTGCAGTGGTTAAGGCACCAAGCTAGAAAGCAGGAGACTTTGAGTTCTAGTGCTGCCTTAGGTGTGAAGCCAGCTGGGTGACCTTGAGCCAGTCATTCCCCCTTAGCCCTCTGAAGGAGACAATGGCAAGCCACTTCCATAATTTTGGCAAGAAAACTGCAGGCATTAATTCAGTTGCCAGTCACTCAAAGGCACACGCCCCAAAAAGACCTTAGTTTTGTTTAGCGTCTTATTCCTTTCATAAGTGCTAGAGCAGTGGTTCTCAACCTGTGGGTCGGGACCCCATTTGGGGTCGATCGACCATTTCACGGGGGTCGCCAAGCAAGGCTGTCCGCCATTTTTTTCCCCTTTTCCGGCGGGTGCCTTACCTCCCTTGGGCTGGGCCAGCTGGTGGTGGGGCCTGCTCCGTCTCTGCCGCTTGCCAGCTACGCCTCGGCCGGCGCAGGGGGCGGAACCACGCATGCGTGGTGCTCCCGGGCAGGGAAAGTCCTCGACTTACGACCGGTTGGGTAGTCCTCGACTTACGACCGGCTTAGTCCTCGACTTACGACCGGCTTAGTCCTCGACTTACGACCAGTTGGGGTCGCGGCATTAAAAAGGTTGAGAACCACTGTGCTAGAGTGTATTGCTGTCATGCAACTTCACAAGAGATAACTTATTTTTTTAAAAAAAAGACATTTTTTTAAAAAATAGTGGGAATGTGTCTGCACAGATGTGTGAGACAGAGCCTGTGCCATTAGTTATGTTATTCTTAGAGACACATATTTCTTTAACCCATTTAACCAGAATATTAATCAGTAAGAGAGCTGGCCAAGTCTAAGAGAAAAATGCTAACGACCTAGAAGCCTGGATTTGCTGGCTCTCTAAGGGACACTTTTTGCTTCAGACAGTGGATTATACTGCTTCCTTAATTTTACCCTTTTTAAACTATTTCATTTGTTACATTGGTAAGTTGTGCGAAAGAAATCCTACATTTTAACCTATTCTTGGAAATCCTATGCAATATGCTTACATTCTAACATATTCACCTGAAGTGGGTATTTTTTAATTATAAAATTGTAAATTGCATTCAGAGTGTTTAATGAATGAATAAGTGGGTCCTAAAAAACTTCATAGTAGAGTATGTGTTTTATCTATAATTGTCATTCATAAAAAGATTACAATCAAAAGATCCTGATAAAATCAGAAATGAGCGTTCTTTCTGGGCGATCAGGCAAACAAATATTTTTCTGTGCAAGAAAACAGCTCATTAAGAACAATAAAATTCCAAAGCACAGTAGCAACAGATCAATATGAGAAAAGTAGTCAGTCACTATACAAATGAATACCACAAATTAAATGTAAATGTACTAAAATATTGATATATATGCATTTTAAGAGATTGATACAATACTATGGACACCTGGACATATATGTTTCAATCCTAAATGTATTTAATTTGAGCACTTTTTATGCCATGTTATATGTAACACTGCTAAATCCTGGTTCGTTGTATATGCCACAATGGCTGAATTTGCAAACCACTTAGAATCAAAATCAAGGAACACACCATGTATGGTTTGGGACAACAGAAAGGGAAAGGAAAAAGAAGGTTTAAAAACAAAAAACTTTTTTTACCTGTAATAAAATACAATGTTAGATAGAAAATGTTTTTTTCTGTTTCTTGCTAAATTTTACTTTATTGGACTAGTAAAAATATTACTTCATACAATGTAATGATGCACAATACCCTTTAAAACAGCAGGCAACTTTTGATAGCCAGATCACATTTTACAAAAAGAAAATGGTGGTGGTGGTGGTTAAAGACAGCAGTGGCCTGGATAACTATCCTGTGACATGCTGAATGGTGAGACAGAATTTCTTCCAAAAGACTGCATGCTTGGTTTATGTATTAGAAGAATTAACTTTTTTCATTGACCCGCATTTTGTTTTCTACCAAAACTTGTGAGATCCTATTTTGGAAATTGGTCACTCAGTCTCAATATTATAATTTCAGGGAAGCTATGGAGTTGCCAAAAAAATAATAATTAGAGATTACAGGTGGTCTAGAATTAAACACCACTTCTTAAAATTGTGATTCTCTTAATGAATGTAGATCTTAATCAGTCAATATGCTTACATCAAATCTCTTTACAATCATGATCCTCTTTCTTTGCTATAACTGTCACTATCATCTACATAAGAAGCTATATTCACAGTCTATAATCCAGTTTGCAAAGGTGGTGCGATACTCCTGCAAATTGTGTGTGTCTCTAATGTGAAAGCATGGCTTTTGTCTTAGACATATTACACAATTCTGTAATTCTTCAAAATCATCAGAACAACTTGATGGAATCTTAAGGACTTGGCTTTAGCTGGTGATACATCTGGAGAACATTTCTCACGGTTTCCACATATTTAGCATCAGGGATAGGTTTCCGCTGGCTTCCTGGTTCCAGAAACTTCTTAATTGTGGGAATGTGACTCATCCTTGTTTTAAAAGCCTAGCGGGGAGGATGAAAACACTTTCATCAACTGGACTTTAGCATTAAACAATCAAAAAGCTACAATTATGACACAAGTCACAATATACACAATACCAACTACTTTTAATTCATTTGATAAAATCCTGTTCAATGCTCATGGCAAAGGTTAGTACCATGGTTCTTGTTATACCTGTATTAATGAATGTTGAACTGGCACATACTAATAAATGCGACTAAACTATCTCAAATAATGCCTTTTTTGTTATGTATCTTTCTGGGCTATTTGTTCATCTGAATGCCCTCAAGAATAATGTTGACTCTGGGGCACTGCTTACCGAATAGATGCTCTACAGAAGCAATCCTTAATAGATTATCATCATCAACAGAGAGATCCATTTTCTAAGGCATTTATGTGGTGTTTTACACAAATGGATGTTGTATGTTTATATTTCTCCTGGGCTATTTATTAAATGCACTTTACTTAGTTATTTTTTAACAAAAAAGTAATATTTTTTAACCATTTAATAAATTTGTAACCTGCCCAAACAACTTTAGTTAGAATAAATAGACCTATTTACACTAGTTTGGATAAAGTAAATGAAGAGTGTGAACATCAAGACTTATGCCAATACAACTTCAAATCTTATATTTAGGATATGAATTAAAAATACAAAAGCAATCAAAAGGAATGGGGGAAAGATGTCCCATGTTGTCTGGAAATGTAACACTTCTGTTTCAATGTTCAGAGCAATTTAACCAAGATTAAACACACATAACCATCTCTCAAATAACCAGATTATATAAATTTATATGAATATTAAGTAAATGAATTTACTTAATATTGATTATAGAATTATCAAATTTTAAAAAGCATTTTATGCCGTTGTATCAAGCAATAGTCTGTTGAAGGAATTATTATTGATGTTATTTTGTGGTCATGTATCGCACAGAAGTTTAAGAAGTTTAAGAAATTTATGTGCTGCCTAGCTTGCTTTGAGAGCGACTCTGGGCGGGTTAACTTTAGCAAGTTAGAAATCTCATCTGCAGTGCAAAAAATTATACAGGAGCACTTTTATTTTCTTCTTTCAAATGGATGAAAGAGAAGGCTTTAAATTTAAAGGAATAGCGCAATTAACACTTTAATTATTTTCCCATACCTGCAATAGAGGAAATTCATTCAGGATAGTGGGGACTTTTTCCTCTGCCATTAAAATAGTTTCAAAGAGGTGTATGTCTGCCAAGCTAAACCGATTGCCAACAAGGAAATCTTGTCCATGATCCTTCAGCACCTGTAAGGGCAAGGGGAAGAGACCAAGTCTAATAGCAGCCACTCACTGATTTCCAAGATTCCAGGGGAGAGATCTTCTAAGAGTATAGTAAAAAATGAATGAGCCTTGTTTATTATGCAAAACAAAAGTGCTGAAATGGTGGTTTTACTATATTACTCAGAAGGAACATCATAGCCATAATTTCTCCCCTTTTCATTATAGCAATAGCACTTAGACTTATATCCCCCTCCATAGTGCTTTACAGCATTCTCTGAGTGATTTACAATATCAGCATATTGCCCCCCAACAATCTATGTCCTCATTTTACCAACTTTGGAATGATGGAATGCTGAGTCAACCTTGAGTCGGTAAGGATCGAACTCCTGCCAGTGGGCAGAGTCAGACTGCAATACAGCATTCTAACCACTGCACCATAATAATAACAATTTATATTGTTATAAATCTCCATATTTCAATACAGTGTTGTTTATATAATATAATAAAAGATTATTAACATTCTATTATTTAGATGGTATAGAATTTGAAAATAAAGTACTCTATCAATTATAATTTAGGATGACAATATTCCAATATCAGATTGTTTGATTTTTTTTATCTAAAGTTGTGTATAACATTGAAAAAGAATCACTGAGATTCACATCAATTTTTTCAGTTTTTGTAAAGATTTTGATTTTAAGCTGATTACTTAATTTTAAAGTCTCCATTGTATTGTTACTTTGGGGGGGTGCATCTTTGTGTGTGCATTTAATCATGTTAATAAAAGAAAAAATGGAGCAAATTTAATAAAATTTAAAATAGAAAAAATAGAAAATAAGGAAAATAAAAAAGAACTATTGGATTTCTGACTTCCCCTGTCTTATGCATCAATTAATTTGCAATATTTGTACATTTTATAGATTTTGTCCATAATTCTTCTTATTGTTGTAACTGTTTGCTCTGAAATTTTCATCATACAGTTGTTTGTTCCATCTCGTGTCATACCTAAATAAAAGTTTATACATGCACCCTCATAATTAGTGCTGGGTTGTTATGAGAGTTTCAAATTCTGCTTTTTCCCTCCCTCGTAATGTCCTGCCTTCCTTGTGAAGATCCTTCTAGTTATTTGTAAACGTATCAACAATGGTATATTCCAGCCTTCACCAAGTAATTCTTGCCTTGTTTTGAAATTTGCAGAATCTAAGTCAAGTGTGCCCATCTTTTTGGCTTGCCTGGACCGCATTGAGTGAAGAGGAATTGTCTTGGGCTGCATATAATATATATAATTTAATTAATATATATAAATGCACATAATAATGTTAAAAGCTTGTGATCTTGTGGGGTCACAATTACTAGTTGTCCAGGGCCACGTGTGGCCTGTGAACCACAGATTGGACATGCCTGATCTAAGTGGTCCAGATCTGTATATAATTACTTTTTGCATACTCTTAATCTTGGACTACAGCTTTTCAATGAGCAAAGAGGAGGCAGTTGAGTTCATAAAGTCACTGCTTAGAAGAGATGCAGACTTGTGAATCCTAATTAGCAGGACAGGATATAAAACTTGAACCTCTGTCTCCTGAGTTTGCAAATGTATTGCAAACATTGTCTTACTTATTGATCTGGATTTTGTTGGGATGTGATCGAATTACAAGGAAAAGAAAACAAAAAACTTTAGAAAGTTATTAGAAGAAAGCACTGCGAGTCATGTGGCAAGGAATCTGGCAACAGTCAATCCCAAAGCTAAACAAGATTGAACAGCTTTCTGAGAAACCTCAGCCTTCAAACTGAAGCTCCAAAACTGGCTTCTTTCAAAGTATGTATGTTTAAATAAAATTGGTAATTGGGAAAGAAGTTACCTACCATGGAATGGGCTAGTCAACAGCATTGTTAATTTAGCAGTTGTAACATTTCCTAGAGTGTAGCAAATAAAGATCTATAGGTATAATTTCTAAATATGTATTTGTCTAATTCAGGGCTTTTCAACCAGTGGTACGGGTACCACCTGTGGTACATTGGCACCTGGCAGGTGGTACGCGAACATCCTAGAAAAGTGGTAGCGGGGAAAGGGAATGAGCTGAACCGGTGGCAGCACTGCACAAGCCTGAGCAAGAGATGGCTGGAGCTGCAGGGCTGTCAGGGCTCAGTAGAAGCGCCAGGATCAGCGCCAGTCTCTAGCTGGAGCTCGGTGCTGATCCTGGCGCTTCTGCTGAGCTCAGAAGAAGCGCTGATCAGCTGGAATGTTGCAGCATCTCCAGGGTCTTGTGATTTACATTCAGATGCTTGGCAACTGATTCATATTTATGATGGTCACAGTGTCCCAGGGTCATGTGAAGTGACCAAAACCTGCTGCAACCACCCAGCAGACGGGGGGAATAAAAACCAAACACCCCCCCCACCCTGCTGCCAATCCTCAACAGAAATGCTCACAACAATGAAAACCTCGGACCAGAGGAAGAGCACCGCCGGGGGGGGGCAGGCAGGTGTCTTGCCCAGCTGTGGCTTGGGGGCACTTTTTTCAGTGCCATTGTAACTTCGAACAGTCACTAAGCAAACTGTTGTAAGTCGAGGACTACCTGTACTTTATCACTTTTTTCCTTTTGGGGGGGGGTCACAGGTTTTTGACATCTTGCTAGGCGACGGTGGTACTCAAATATTGCCATATCCTAAAAGTGGTATAATGGGTGAAAAGGTTGAAAAGCCCTGGTCTAATTCATGGTAAGATTTAAGCAAGTATACATATTTATTATGTAAAACAGGGATATACATCTTTTGAGAGTGCAGGACTCGGCATACCTGTCAAGACAAGCCCAGGCTTCAGACAAAAAACAACAACACTACATATCCCTAGTGTAAAGCAGAGATGAGGAACTGATGCTTTCCAGATGTTTTAATTCCTTCCAGCACCTCCACCCAGGCAAGAGATTGTTGGAGTTGCAGTGCACCTGCAAAACAGGTGGAAGCTATGGGGGTGATCCTTGATCTAAAAACATTTCTTTATTAACACTTACTTTTTCATAAACTGGAAAATATCTTTTTGTTGCTTTTTCTTTAATAGTAACAAGTTGGCGCTCTTGATCCTCCAGTGACAAGAAAGGGAATGGCAAAATAAAGAGAGAAAGGTCTGTTGTTCCTTCCACATACATGTCAATCCTAAAAAGACAGAGTATCATGCATCAGTTTGAGCGCTCATCTTACGATCTATCACGTGTGGGTCAAACTCTTGAGTCCTGTTTTCAGAATGCCCTCTAAGCAAGCAATTAGCCATCATGCCAAAGTAAAGAACACATGACAACTGCAATAAAATCCTAAAATAGGTGTACTCTGGTTAAAAAAAAAAAATAGAATATCCCAAAATGTTATCTTTCTAAATGGCTATACATAGACAAATTTTTCAGGAAATGTATTTAACCAGATAGCTTTACTGGTCATAAGTAATATCTAATCAAGGAGTTAAACTTAGTCTGCAGCTGCTAGAAGTTTATCCTTCCTTGGATGCTAGGTGACCAGTGGCAAATGCATAGCGGATGGCTACAGTAGCTATGCATAACCCTGGGAGAAGTTCATACCACTTCAGTTTCTCTAATTCAAATAACTAAAGGCACACACAAGGAAAGTTGCTTTTCAAGGACCAGCCTTGGTAAATTTTCTTTTGGCGTTAAGCAAAGAAGTATTCTGATAACCCTATCCCAATGGTTGACCTACCCACAGCTTGCATGCCAACGTGAGGTGGTGTACCTGTACATTGTGTTAAGTTTGTTTAGTGACAGACATGCCTAGTTCTGCCCAATGGCTCCACCAATAACTGTCCTACATGCTGTGCTTCCATTCAGCTTTATCTTCCCAGAAGGAATCGGGAGGGAAACATACAAACAAACATGACAGAGCCTGGCTGACAAAATCACAGATGGTTTGTTAGCTGCATGGGCCTGCAAGCAAAAGTAGCATGTGTTGCTAAACAAGCCTTATGGTTTAACATGGTAGACTAGCCCATGTGGTATTTAGAGGAGTGGGCTACAATTTATTTCAGTGAGAAGGATGCTCTTATGTGACTGAATCAAAGGCAGAGACAATAGACAGGGCTCCAACTGAAATTTCAAGCGCAGCTAAGTACAGTGGGGACATTACAATGCTCTGTCGCTCATGTTCATCCCATACAAGTTGTACTTCGTAGCAATGTAACGGAGGATGGCCCTTGTCTGTACCAGCTTCATCCCATCCATTTCCACCATGGGTGATTGCTGAAACAGGAACAAGCCATCTTTGGAGAGAAGAAAAACACAGCAGATATAAAATATTCTGCCTACAAAGCACATATTTACTTTCAAAACAGAAGCCAGGAGAAGCCAAGGTCATTTTATTTTTGTTCCGGCCTATTACCTAGAATACTGATATAAAGAAACTGTTCATTCAAGCGATATGGGGTTTGCTGTTCTGTTATTAGATCTGCACAATATATCAAGATCTCGTTATGCTCAATAAAGCAATAAGGGTGGTTTCACCCAATATGCTAAGGCATAAAACATGATTTACAAACCACAATGGATTTCACACAACAAACAATATCATTATTTAATGCACTGCATGACACCCCCCCCTCCCAGATTTCTGTTTAGACAAAAAGAGAGTATCACTGAACCTTACAGCTGTCTACCAATATTATATCTGGGATCTTAACACATCAGATTTAAGGAATGTGTCAAGAGAACAAGCTGCCCTTTTTTATAAAGAGCTTATTTAAAAAGTTACAGGACAAAAATGTACCTGTATATTTCCAAGTGTTTTCTGAAATGGGATATCTATTCCTTCATTTTTCAAACAGGGTTTCTCCCTCAATTGCAATTTAAAAATGTGGAAATGCTTATGTTCTCCAAGAGCCTCATTCAATTTGTTATTAAAATAAACTTAGTTTAATAATACAAACAGATACGTTCTGTGTCATACTGATCATCCAACCAGAATTGCAAACAATGTTTTGAAGTAATATTCAGTTAAAGCTGTCCAAATAAGGCAGTAAGTGTAGCATTCAAGGCATAATGTTCCATCTGTATTACAATTCTCTCCCTCGATTACAATAAAACATAAAATCAGGGATATTTAAAAGGCAAAGAAACAAAACACAGACACACAGTCACTAAAGACAATTAAAATGAAGACTTAAAACTCTATTATAAATAGTGTATTTTTAGTAAAGTGACTAGGTTAAGTCACTGAGCCAGAATTGCATTCCAAAGACAGGGCAACAACACATTCAGTCCCTGCAAGAACGTCCATCAGCAAATAAAAGTTGCAGTTATTCTAAATATAGAGTCTTGCAAATTCTTAACATGTGCTGATGGAGGCTTCAGATGGTAACTTAATAAATTTATGAAACATAGATTTGATATACAGAACCTGATGCTTTCCCCCCCAACAAATGTAAGATAATTTACACCCTCAAGGGCAGGGATCCTTTGCCCTTCCAGATGTTGAGTTACAGCTCCCAACTTGGCCAATGGTGAAGAATGCTAGGAACTGTAACTCATCATCTGGAAGGGCACAGAATTCCTTCCCCTTGAGAATGTAAATCAGGGGTAGTCAACCTTGGCTCTTTTATGACTCGTGGACTTCAATTCCCAGAATTCCTGAGCCAGCTTAGCTGGCTCAGGAATTCTGGGAGTTGAAGTCCACGAGTCATAAAAGAGCCAAGGTTGACTACCCCGATGTAAATTATCCTATATTTTTTGGAAGGAAAGGATCAGTTTCTGTATATCAAACCTATGTTTATTATATTTATGAAGGTACCATCTGAAGCCTCTAATGTTAAAAATTTGCAAGATTCTATATTTAGAACAGGGGTGTCAAACTCAATTTCATTGAGGGACGCATCAGCATTGCGGTTGCCCTTGGGGGGCTGGGTGGGTGTGGCCAGGGTGGATGCAGCCTACTGGGTGGGCGTGGATGGAATGGGTGTGGCCTACTGGGTGGGCATGGCCAGCTCTATATCATTCGCGTCAAGGGTGCCTGTGGGGGGCCTGGGCAGGAGTGGGACAGATCTGAGGGTCTCTGGCAGAAAGGGGTGGGACCAGGGCAGAGCCCATCAAGCCGGATATGTGAAGTAGGCGAGGGCCATTTGCTGGCCACTTCCAGGAGATGGTGCATTTCTTCATTCCTCACAAAGAGTGACACCTCCCCAGCATGCACACAGGGGGTGGGTCCGATGCGGCAGGGGCTGGTTCCTCGCTGTTTCCAGATGGCCTTGTGGAGCTAAGACTGAATGCATTTCAGCATAGATGGCCACCACAAAATTGTACATTGGCTCCCGGCCAGCCTGGGCCAGGGCCAAGGCAGCGGGTGCCGTTCCCTCACTGTTTCCAGGATGGCTTCGCGGGCCACATGAAATCACTTCGCAGGCCACATCCAGCCCCCGGGCCTTGTGTTTGACATGTCTGATTTAGAATAACCACAACTTTTACTTGCTGATGGGACTCATACATTAGTAATGTTTAGAACGGGATTTATCAAGCTATGTTCCCTGGATGCCTTGTGTTGCACCAGAATTTGAAGGAGTTCTGTGAGAGGCTAAAAAAAAAAAAGTTCACTCAAATGGAGCAAATTTTCCATCACCAGAGCTTTTCCTCTTAATCAGGGACACTGGGATTTTTTTTTAACTAACAGGTTTTGTGGTCTAAAAAAGTTGGACAATCCCTGGCTTAGAAGGCCACAGCTTCCCAACCGTCTCCAAGATCATGATGGATTATGGCTGAGTAAAAATGTAACTATTTTTTTTAATTAGGCATTGTTCTTCGGGAACAAGGCCATAGCTCTTCTCTATCACTCAAGAATTACAACTTCTGTTTGTTTCCACCCAAGTAGAGATCCAGTGCCATTGGTACAGCCAAATATTTGCAGTTTCATCACACATAACCTTGAAGCAGCTTCTCGTATTGCTCTCGGGTCTCAAAAAATTCCTCTTCAAACTAAAAGACAGAAAAAAAAGATGCAGAGGGAATCGTCTTCAGAATTCTAGAACCCAGTTCATAATTGAATACAGCTCACTGAGAAGAATCACTGAACATTTGCCTACAAATAACCATAGCTGAACATCAAGTATCTCAGACCAGAACTGAATGATCGTTTAGGGAGGCTTGTATATTTATACTGAGTTAGATTTTCTCATTTTTGAAAAAAGTAAATTTTAGCAGGCCAATTTTTTTTACCTGAATCATACTTGAAATTAGGCAAGACTAGCTGATAGACTTTTTAAAAAGATAAAGCTTCATGTAGGGTCATTCAAGTGCCTTGAAATTTGACTCTTTCCTCTGTAGTACAACCAAGAGTTTTGATATTCACTTTTTTGGGATTAGCATTATGCAATCCACACAATTAGCTACAAAAAGATATAGTAGGGAAGTACATGCATCACAGGACAAAAAGATGCAATTGTGTTGTTAATTTTGTAAATCATGTACTAGTTCATGGTTCAAAATGCACACCCTGCTTTTCAGCCTCTTACATGATCCTCAAAGTTGCCACTGTTAAACACATTATTGAATAATGGAAGAAAGATTGCTCCACCTAAGTCTTCTGCACAGCTCATAAACCTTCAGGGAAATCCTAATGTACAGATAGTTGACTTACAACAGTTCATTTAGTGACCATTCAAAGTTACGGCACTGAAAAAAGTGACTTATGACCATTTTTCACACTTACAACCATTGCAGCATCCCCATGGTCACGTGATCAAAATCCAGACGCTTGGCAACGCCTATTTATGATGGTTGCAATGTACAGAGTCATGTGATCACCTTTTGCGAGCTTCACTTAACAATCGTGTTACTAACTTAACCACTCCAGTGATTCACTTAACAATTGTGGCAAGGAAGGTCATAAAGTGGGGCAAAACTCACTTAACAACTGTCTTGCTTAGCTACATAAATTTTGGGCTCAATCGTGTCGTACGTCGAGAACTACTTATATCAGGGACTTTACAAAATATTTCTAGTGCTTTAGGCATAAACCTGAAACCTCAACAAACTGGGGACAGAAAACATCACTTGAGCTTTAAAAGCCACTCACACAGGATTATGAGAGCAAAAGAAAGGAAAGCATTGGGATTCGGTAGAAATCTAGTTAGAATCATTAACTATACCAACTACTTAGCATAGTAGTTAGGGTGTGAGGGTTGGGGCAGGGAAGACCTTGCAGCTACAGTACGCTAATGAAGAATAACAAGCCTCATTCATCAGTGCACTGGGATGAAGGCAACATCGTGGAGATGTGGCAGGGAAAAAAATGGTGTTACAAGGGCATGCTTGTGCCATGGAGAAAGATCGAAAGTCATGATTTAAAGCAGGGGTAGTCAACCTTGGCTCTTTTATGACTCGTGGACTTCAACTCCCAGAATTCCTGAGCCAAATTGAAGTCCACGAGTCATAAAAGAGCCAAGGTTGACTACCCCTGATTTAAAGTTCTAATCTTGGGGGATAGATGGCAAAGCCTTCAAAATTGCTCAAAATTTAAGCCAGGATTTCTCACACTAGAGAGCTTTGTTGTTGAGAGTGAGAGGGTAGCTACAACATCTCCGGGCTTTGGGTTCGGAACTGCGAACATGTGTTGGATACACTTGCAATATCACTGCTGAAAAGCATTTGCTCATGGCCAAAATGGCGGCCAAGGAAACATACATTTATAGACACTATGTCCCTGTTGCCTTTTTTCTCTCTTTACCAATATGTGCCTATTAGGCTTTGACCTCTGTTAACTTGGAGGCAAAGCAGGCGACTGAACTAACTTTGGCAAGTTTCCTGTTTTTATTCAGTAGCTTTCTGTCGAGTCAAGGATTTGTGGATTGCACTTCCACTCAATAGTAGGTAAAGACTCTTAGAAAAGGCAAGAAAAATTAATTGCATGTAGCCCTCACTTAATGATGGTAATTTGGACTGGCAACTCTGTCGCTCAGTGACATGGCTGTAAAGCATGACAACACAGGCCTGCACCAACGTACAATGGCAGTTCCATTTGCCATCATTAGGCGAACCCCATCATTAGGCAGCATCTCACAGTCATGTGATGGCCACTTGTGACTTCCTGCCAGCTTCCTCCTTGACTTTGCTTGTTAGAAACCAGCAGTGAAAGTTGCAAAGGGTGACCAATGTACCTGGACCACTTCTTATAGCCTTGCTGGCTTTTCTCCTCTCCAAACTAGATCTGAGCATGTTAAAAAACACAACATTCTGAAGGTTCAGTCCTTTTAGGGGTGAGAGTCAAGGTGGAGAAGGTTTCACAGAGCAAAATAGATCCTTTAAGCCAGAGTTCCCCAACCTTTCTGGCTTTGTGGCCCAGTGAGGTTAGGGGAGAGGAGCTGATTTTATGTGAGCCGTGGACAAGTGCGTGTGCGTGCAGCTATATATGGAGCACGCACGAGCTTGCCTGCTGCTCGCGCAATTGGGGATGTGTGCATACGCTCATCCGCCACTTCTGTGGCCCAGTTCCAAACAGCTCATGGCCCGGTAGTGGGCCACAGCTCGGAGGTTGGGGACCCCTGCTTTAAGCATTGCACTTTGTTCCTCAATATTACCTGTCCTCACACTACAGGGTATTCTGTAGATCGCCCATCTCTAACTTGGAATTGAGGATTCTGAGGAAGCAAGGGCATGAGAGCTGGTATGTAGGGAACCTGCAGTATGGCTGTTTGGATTCTTAACAAGCATTACCCTTTCCAAAACCCAAGTAATTCCTGCAGGAAAAAAAGCAGTACATAGACAAAAATACCAGCAGGGTTACTGGTCAGTTCTATTGTGTTTAAACTTCCTGAAGAAAAGCACATGATACGGGCCACAACAAAACATTTACAATACATAATATAAAGGCAATCCTTGACTCTACAACTGCTCATTTAATGACAGTTCAAAGTTATGATGGCCTCAGAAAAAGTGATTATCCTCAAAATTACGACTGTTGCATTGTCATCATCATATGATCACAATTCAGCATTTGGCACTTGGCAACTACCTCACGTTTACAAACGTTGCAGTGTCTTGGAGTTATGTGATTGCAATTTGTGACCTTTTCAGACAGTTTCTGACAAACAAAGTCCATTGGGGAAGCCAGATTCACTCAACATCATTAAGCATGATTCGCTTAATGATGACCAATGATAAAAATGGTCATAAAGGGTCACAACATTAGGTCCAATCACATGATGACTCACTTCAGAACTTAGCGACCAAAATTATGGTCCCAATTGTGGTCGTAAGTTGAGAACTACCCATAGATCTTTCCTTGAAAATGGTTTGATTTTTTTTCAAATTCCGAAAGATGATTCTTTCAGAGAGAAAAAAAATGGCAAAAATATTCCAACAGCCTTCTGGGTCCATAAATAAGGAAACACAGACCTCTACACCAGCAGCTGCTAACAACCACCGTATCTGTTCCATTCGGCCTCGTCCATTAAAGTAATACAATTTAGGTTTCTCAGCCATCGTTTCTTAATCTCCTGGGATGGGGGCCTGAGGAGGGAACAAAACAAAGTACAAAAAGTGATGAAGTGATCATTCTGTTGCAAGAGCACAGGAAAGACATGCAGAGTAAAGGCTAATTGATCAAATCAAGATATTTCATCAGACCCACATCTGAAATGCAATTTTATTAACAGATATACTCATACCACTTAACATAATCTTTGTTTTGTTTATGCAGGAGGAGGCAATGACTCCCAGTACAGGAAAATCTGTACATACGCTCTTATTTACTTAACCACAATGCTAGCATACAAAACAGTTTACATATTTTCATATTCAGAGAAATTTGGTAGAAAACAGTAGTTTGAGCAACATAGAATTGGGCCTCTATAAATCAACTGCTAATTCAGAAGTGATGTCCAGGTAACTTCTCACTTGATCCAGACCTGTATGTCAACTTGATGACATAATATTCTGTGTGAACTTCATTTAATCCAGTGGTTCTCAACCTGTGGGTCGGGACCCCATTTGGGGTCGATCAACCATTTCATGGGGGTCGCCAAGCAAGGCTGTCCGCCATTTTTTTTTGTCCGCCATTTTTTCCCCCTTTTCCGGTGGGTGCCTTACCTCCCTTGGGCTGGGCCAGCTGGTGGTCGGCCTGCTCCGTCTCTGCCGCTTGCCAGCTACGCCTCGGCCGGCGCAGGGGGCGGAACCACGCATGCGCGGCGCTCCCGGGCAGGGAAAGTCCTTGACTTACGACCGGTTGGGTAGTCCTCGACTTATGACCGGTTTAGTCCTCGACTTACGACCGGTTTAGTCCTCGACGTACGACCGGTTGGGGTCGCGGCATTAAAAAGGTTGAGAACCACTGATTTAATCCAACTATAATTGTCCTGGTCTGGATATATGGCTGACCCATCTCAAAGCGATCTCTTTTGCAAGACTTGGTTCTCCACATGGTCAAATACCTTACCTTTTAGTAACTTTTTCTAAACTGAGCATAGGAATCTGAATCTGTTATTTTATGGGCAAAATGTCCGATCTTCAAATGTGTTGTGATACTTAAGCAATGCAAACCGAGGCTTTTTGCATGCATTCAAGTCAGAGACTCAACCCAAAAGCCCTACGGTTACAATAATGTTGAGAACTGGCATATATCCAGATGAACTACAGCTGCACTCTTGAAAGTCCTTGAAATTCCCTGTCTTTCTGTATCCAGAATGACCATTAATGATTCAGGAGAGGGGATCTCAAAACATAACTAAATTATTACAGCCAATCTATTCAGCCTAGCATAAATGTCACAAAAAAGGCAACTCGTCAGCCATTTTCTAAAGCCCTGTCTAGATTGACTGACTGGAAAGCAGATTTATTCCTGTAGAGCTCTCTGATAAGAAAGGTATGAAAATAGCCCACTGCTTTACAAAGCTTGGCAGCAACATGCCTAGATAACAAGGAAGGGAAAACTCATAAATATGTGTGAACTTAACTTGGAAAGCTTGGAGCTCTAGTGGTTTCTTCCAGGTAAACACTTAGTTGCTTCCCCTAGCTCTTTTTGCTTGCAGATCTTGCAGGAAAAGCAAAAACTCCCTTTGAAACAAGTATAAGAAAAAAAGGATCTACTTTCTACAGCAGTGCTCTCCAAACTTGGCAACTTTAAGACTTGTGCAAGCTACAATTGTGTCAGAGAGAGACTGGCAAGCCAGGGGGAGAAGTTAAGCAGGGAATTAGTCTGGAATCCTTATATAAGGTATAAGAGGGCAAGGTCTGACACCACCACCACCACCACCACTGAATGAACCTTATCTAGTCTGGCCCAGATGCAGATTGCCAGTCTGGGAAGATTCCTGTATAAAAGGCATGAGCAATAAAATAGCTAATTGAACTCTTCAGGTATGGATCTTGTTGTTCATATCTAACATTAATCTTCTCAGACTCATTATCTGCTTGACTCTTGCCTCTGGCTCGCCCAATCTCTCCCTGACAATCTGGTGCAAAATGCAGTATTAGGGGCAGTTATGCGTACTCCTTGATCACTGCCTGATAACACCTTTGTTCGACAAGTTCCACTGGTTGTCAGTTTGCTTCCAGGCTCAATTCAAGAAGCTGCTAATCCCATAGCTTAGGGCCAGGTTATCTGAAAAACCACCTCTCCTCAATTACATCTACCCTTCCCATCAGGGTCAGTAGCAAAGGTCATATAGGCCAAGGAATGTCATCTGATGGGATCCAGGAGGAGAGCCTTTTCTGCTGCAGGCCTCTTGGAAGATTCTTAAGACATTGTTTTGTCTTCAGGCCTGGGGGAATTTGGTGATTTTTTATGCTAGTTGTATTGTTAAATATTGTATGGATTGTCCCCTCTGGCAAATTACATTTTGAATTGCTTTAATTGCTTTTTTCCTAATTATTTAGTTATAATTCTTTATTGCTTTTTGGTTTTCAATTGTATGAGACACCGAGTCAAATATGTAAGATGGGGGGCTATGTACACATTGAATCAATCAATCAATCAATCCATCAATCATCAATCCAGTTACATAATTCCTGAGGAACAGTGGCAAAGTGTGACACTTGTCATATTTATGACAATGAGGTGGCAAAGAAGCAGAAGCTTTAGGGTAGTAATCAGTGGTCTGCCATTACTTAAGGTCCACTGGTGCCTCAGAAAATCCTCTTAAGATCCGGCCACTGAAAAAAAAAATGACTCATTTTTGAAAGTACAATTTTCTCTTGAAGGGGAGGGGGTTGTTTTAAGATTGGAAATGGGAGTGCCAGGGCTCTGTGAGACAAACTACTTCAATTGCCATCTGAGTTGAAGGGATGGCTATTGAAGCGTTTTGTTTGTTTGTTTTTTTAAAGATAAAGATCAGATGCACTTCGTAAGCAGAAAGGAAGATCTGAAAAGGAGGTCTGAAGTCACCAGGCCTGCCAATATTTGCTCTACTCCTCCCATCATCTTCATGGACAAGAGTGGTGGCAATGGAGAACTAATGAGACTGGACAGCCATTTGTCCGAAATGGTATAGGGTTTCCTGCCTGAGCAGGGGGTTGGACTAGATGACCTTCAAGGTCCCTTCCAACTTTACTATTATTATTATTATTATTATTATTATTATTATTATTATTATTATCATTATCATTATCATTATCATTATCATTATCATTATCATTATTATTATTATTATTATTATTATTATTATTATTATTATTATTATTATTAAATAGCTATCTTGGAATTTAGAATTGGCTATCTTGGTGTAGAAATATTTTCTAGGCCAGAATGGAAAGGCAGAAGTATTGAACTGCTTTAGCCTTTGAAGCTCCATTAGCTGGTTTTACAGGGAATAACTACAGATGACTTTGTGTGTGACATCTAGCGTACACGGTTGAGAATAGCCAGCATGATATCTATAAAGCTCCAGATAAGATCTTAACTACTGTATTCTTTACAAGGAGAGAGAACATGCAAACAAAACGTTTGAACAAAAAGTCTTGACGCATCTCAGTGGGAAGTCAGAGGGAGCAGAAGGGTAAATTCCATTCTAAATGGAATGCTAAATGGACCATTGCAAACAAAGGTTATCGCTCACTTCGTTAAAAAGTATATTATGAAATACAGGCGTGCTTGCTTTGGGGAGCTGATAAAACCCATATACAGTACTGTGTTGTTACTAAAAGCCCAGCCCTAGTAACAATAACTCTTCTCTTTCAGGAACGACATTTAACTTCATTTGAATCAATTCGGTGCCCAGAGAATTCTTAAGAAACAAACGGGAGATGAGGAGAAATCAGACAAATGATGACTCTAAGAAAAAGCTTTTAAAACTCCTGCCGATGGTCGCGATGGCAGCTCTATACCCCGTTCCGCCCTCTTCACGCACAGAGAGTCAAGCTGCAATCTTGTCAGGTGTTCACTTAGGGTTGCAAAGCCTAACTGAGAAACCCTCCGCCTTGTCGGGATACCCAAAGGGATGAAGCATCCGGCCACTTCTGTATTTGCAGTTCCATCTTACGGCTCCCCCCCAAAAAAAATTAAGAATAGAATAGAATAACAGTGTTGGAAGGGATCTTGGAGGTCATCTAGTCCAACCCCCTGCTCAGGCAAGAAAGCCTACACCATTTCAGTCAAATGGTTGTCCAATCTCTTCTTAAAAACTTCCCGTGACTTGTTTCACTGATTCACAGTTCTAATTTCCTTCACTTAAATTACCTTCACTCAAACAAAACAATTCCCATTAACAAATCAAGCAATCGCAGCTTGCGCTCGCAGCAAGCCCAGCCTTCATTCATAGTGCTTCTTTTCTCTACAGAGTCAAGTACCTCTCCGAGTCCCTTCCCAAGCCTTCTCAGCCTCCGCTCCCGACGAGCCTCAGATGGAGAGGGACGATCCGTGTCTAGTTCTCGCTCCCGCTCAGCTTTTGGGAGCCGCCGCAGACCCGATTTATTCTGTGCCGGTACCCCTTCCTCCTCCTCCTCCTCCTCCTCCGCCGCCGCTGCCGCCGCAGCAAATTGGAGCCGGGGGCGGGGATGAGCCGCCAGGAGGAGGTACTTAAAACGGTTGCTTTGCATTTTTCTCAAAGCCTCTTGGGAACGCGCTTAAGGACGACTAAAACGGACTTTGCAGTTACAATCATGCATTTTGTTCACGGTATTTTTTAGCTAACGCATAAATAACTACGTATATATATATTTTTTTTAAAAAAAATATGCTAAGAAGTGCCACCATAATCTCGAAGGTAGCAATATTTTGCTCTTCATATAAGTATGAGGTATCCTTCTTTCTTCGGATGTGAGGGCGATCTGGCTGCGACATCTGTCACCCCATTGATCGCCAGGGTTGATTCGGCTGATCTGGCTGGCTAGGCGGGTGTCCCCTTCCTCCCTCACCGCTCCATGTGCGTCCCTCCCGAAGCTGCGCGCTCGGTGGAAGAGGACGACCATCCCAGATAGAAGGAGTGTACCGATCTTCGGTCAAGGGTATACGATAGCTGCGCTCCCCTGCTAGAACCTCCAAACAAGCTCAAGGTCCATTTGT